GCTGCCCTACTGTGAGGCGACGCAGACTGGGCAGCAGCAGCCTCTGTGTATAAGGGCTGCGCAGGTCGGAGTGGGAGCGGTGTGGTCGTAAATGGTCCCGAGCTCGGTACATCTGTTCGCGACGACATACCAGCAATAGGGATAGCGCCCCTTCCATTTGCTGCTCCTCTTCCCCTGCGAGGACGACCCCTGCCACGTCCACGACCTCCTTCCGCCTTCAACTTCTCCTTATAATAGCGCACAATATAGCTCTGCAAAATTTCTAGCGCTTTCTGTGCTCCCAGCGCCTCAAGATCCTTCAATTGCTCCGACGTGAGGTGAGAGAAAATGTCCGGGTTCAGAATAAGGGTATTGTCATGCAAAACGATTGGCTTCGGAGGAGAAGGGTCATCCAAGGAGTCCGCTCGGGATGGAGCTGCACCAACAACAATAGGGATACGGACAGAAGCTGGAATGACATGAGGCGATGCAGATGGGACTGCAGAGATCGAGGAAGGTCTATCAGACCCGGTCGCGGAATCGTTAGCACAATGGACACCTGAGGAAGTAAGGTTGGTCGACGGGGTCGGCGTCGAATATGGGAGCGGCGGCCTCGAGATGGATACCGGTTCAGGTTTGATTGCCGGAGCAGAAGAGGAATGGGATGCATCAGTGGTCGACGCAGGTAGGGTACTTGATGACGAATGTGTCTTCAAGGTAAGAGGAGCTGTTGTAAGTGGCGGTGGTAAAGGCGATCCTTTCAGGTCTCCCTTAATGCTTCGCTTAAATAGAGGTTCCAGTGGGACTGCTGCCTTCGCCTTCTTCGCACTAAGCTTACCGTCTTTGCCTCCTGAGCTGCCCGCCGCCACCGCCGCTTGTCTCCTTGCATCTTGCTCCTCAAAATTGTGTTCATATGCCCCATCAACGGTCCACAAAGCACCTTTCCCCTTCTCTTCTTTGGGCCTGAGCAGTTTCTTGAAACCGGGATTTGACGACAAGTTATGCCGGACAGAGCTCTGCAAGATAATGATGTCGATAAGATATATTGTGGGTGGATATACGACTCACCTCCCAATCCTTTGCACAATAACGATACCACTCGAAATTCTCCTTGATCCATTGACAGATGTCCTGAAGTGATGCCTTCCCCCCAAGGGTCTTAATGGCCCGATAGCACAGCTGAGCATAAGTAAATGGGGGTTTCGGAGGCATGACTTCTGGCGGAGGAAGAGATATCGGCGCATCAGATTTCTTACGTTTCTTCGCATTAGACTTAAATTTGCTTATGACATTCGAATTAGGGAGGGCGGTGTCAAGTAACGGGGGTATCTTTGGAGGAGGTGAGACGGGGGCGGGAGGTGGAGAGCACGAAGGCAGAGAGGAGGGTGGTGATATGGAAGTAACATCCAGAATGTCCACAGACGGCGAGCGCGTGCGTGCACGGTTATCAGATGAATGTGAACTGGGGGATGGCGAATCCTCTGGTGCGGGAGGCGGGGGGAGGACGAAGTGGAAAGTGCGAGAGGCAATCTGTATCTGCGACCTAGACAGGGATAAGCTGCTGGGTGCATATAATTTCACGTAAACGTACCTATCGCTCAGGGGCACCTTGCTGCCACTTCCTGACCATACGCCATCCACCCATGCACCGTTCCTACCTTGGACAAAGAGGACAAAGCGCTCCTCGTCCTCCTCATACTCAATCTTCGCGTGCAGACGCGAGACGCTCTTCAGAGGACCCAGATCGACATCGACCTGGGGGTTGTCGGACGAGGATGCGGCAGAGGCTGGGATGCAGCGCCGACCGATAGTGACATTGAGAGTCTGGAGGTAATAGGTGAAGCTAGGGAATACAAGGCTGTAGTATGCGCTGATCTTGCTGGGCAGGGATTCCTGGGCGAGAGGAATGGGGTCCGCAGAGGGGAGGGTGTCCTGAGGGTGGGCGACGAGAGTGGCCATGGTGAGCTGAAGGTCGCAGAGAGGCTTGAGTCACGCTGCCACATTGGGCGACCCTCGGGCCTCGACGCCCTCTCTCCGGCCAGCGCCGGCCGCTTGCCACACTCGGACGACGCGCCACTGTAGCCTTTTGCCCGTTCTCTCCCCGCAGTTTCTGTCTTTTGTCTTCACACTGGTCATGCCAGACTCAGTGCAGCTCAAGGCAAAGGACGAGCTCGACACTCTCGCAGATCGAAATGTTGACTCGACCGACTCAGACGTACGGTACATGGCCTACGGTGCCCGTCTAAGAACTGCTCTGCGTGCCGGTCATCGGTACATTGCTTATGTGCGTTCTGCTTTGGTTCGGCTTTAGTGATCAGCGATAGATTTACGCCAGACAAGTGACGTCGGCGAAGCATTTCGCCCCGTTGTCCCACCTGCAGTGGTTTCTGCCGCATACGGCATCTCCTGGCTATACCTGGCAGGGTACGTTATTCTAGCGTTCAGCTAACGAGGCTCATCTGATTACGCACGCGGAAACAGAGATGTCGGGTATGAGGCGTATAAGGCGCATCGGAGAGGACCAACTCCTTTGGAAGCTACTCATTTTTCCGAGCCTACTCGAATTGGGATGATCGCTGTCAAGCGTGCTGTATTCCAGTCTATAGCATCCATGTAAGTTCACAGTGCCCATCCTGCCGAGTGGCTTGACCATGTATTCTCTCCCCGCAGGGCTCTCCCTGCGTTTACAATTCACACAGCTGTCAAGCAAGCGAAGAAGGCGTTCGTGAACGCTGCTAACCCACGCATCAAGACGTGGGGCCCAACGGCCACAGGGATTGCCATCGTACCAATCCTTCCATACTTGTTTGATAAACCCGTGGAACATGTCACTGACGCGGCATTTGATTGGATAGAAGGGCAACTTATAGACCAGGAGGCCAACAAGTGTTAATGTCGGGATTACTGCCGGGTGGCATGTCATTATCTCTTCTGAGAACAGCATTGGCGTATTGAATCGACGTTCCACGATTGGCCAACGTTGCTGACATTCTATACGTGCAAGTCATCGTAGATAGATTACAAAGATGCTCGTGTAAAGTTCTCCATTGAGACTGCCAAAGATGCTCGTGATACATGCGGAACAACTATCGAATACCTAATGTAGAGTGGGCAATATCAGAGAATAGCATGCAATGATAGTCCAAATGAAAGCAAAATGAGGTGCACGAACGTGACAGAAATGCAAGGCGATGCTACATCCTATAAGCTACAGAACGGATCGGGGGCATCAGAATCTGCCAAGCGCCAGGGGGATGGAGCTCATGGAATTTGGAGGTATTACTCCGACCTCGGTTACCACAGCAGTAATGCATGAGGGAGGAGTCAGATCGTATAGAGGATTGAGCACTTCTAAGTTGGGTTGATTCTGAAACGCTGATGCATCTTGAGACCTAGCATGACGGTCGGAAGAGAACATAGATCCAATAGGCGCTGACGGACGATCAGACTCAATCGGGGTACAGACCAACAGAACATTGAACATACCCAATTCATTCTTCGTAAAACTATCAAGCTGAACCCCTTCGGAAAATTTATAGGTTTCACAGCATACTACCACAGGTACGGAGTGTTGCTTCGCCATCATCGCCACCAATGCGGAACCCGCTCGAGAAAAGACAGCCCCATTGGAGTGTATAGAGTGAGCACCAATGAGGACAGTTGACACCTCGTTTATGATAGAGCCGAGGGCCGGAAGTAACAAATAAGTGCATTGAATGCCAGCAGATGCGAGTATTGACAAGAGTTTTTTCCCTATACATGGCCGCAATTTAGATTCAGCTTGCACACAATGCAAACGAATGACTGACCTTCGAGCATGGGTCTTGAATCAACCACGATCACAGAGAAACAGCGTCCCTCTTCGTGTGCGCCAAGCAGAACCTTCTCCACTACCGATGATCTATGCCCACTTCATGAACAGAAAATTCACAGTCACAATGGGGGCATACCTTGCATATGTCAGGATCACGTCTCCATCCTTGATTTTACTCACAGCCGTATCCCTAATTACTTGATCGGCAATGATGATGCGATCCCGTATGTAATGATCAATTTTATGACATAGCGCATCCTTCGCCTTGGAAAGATGAATAATGTCAGCGTCGTAGCAAATCGATGTCAAGGATGCATACATCTTGCTCAGGGAGATCAATATCTGATCCGCTGATTTCTAGCTTCAGCTGACGGATCGCATTGCCCATCGTCACCGACATAGGTCTAGCAGCAACTAAATGGCTAATTTGCGGAGATAGATGCGTCATGAGGTGACGGGAGAGGGTATTATTTGGAGGCGTAGTGTAGTCTTGTATGACCTGGCGCAATTCTAGTTAGAAAGTGCATGGGCACTGCATAGCAACCACTCACTTGCTTGAAGGCAATCAAAGTGGCAATGCAACGAGCATTTGCACCCGTAATCTTGAAATTCGAGAATTGTAGGGCGAGCCGCACAATTGTCGGGTGGATCTCGCCCTTCGCCACGCTCACAGGTTTGGGTAGTCCAAAGTGCGCGAAAATTCGCAACCCTCGTGCTTTGTCGGATGATGGGGCAGGATGAGGGGTTTGTGGAACTCTCGAGTCCCTAGTCGGCCTGCTCACGGATAGAGAAGAAGGTCGGGTCGGCGCATCTGAAGCTCTGGAGGCCCTCCGCGGCGAAGGGGCATTTGACATAGCTGCAGAAGATCCTGGCTTAATACCTGCGTGCTTTCCATTCACTCCGTTCGGCGCAGCAGTAGTGGCCTTCGCGGCCTTTGCGGCTCGCTGACGCTCCTGGAGCTCGCGTCGCTCAGCTTTGGTCATTTGTTTCTGGGATCGGGGGGGAGGATGCAGGGCATCTCCGTTGGATGACTGGGACTGGACGTCCAGAAGTGGTGGGGGAACCATGAGTTCAATGAAGTGGAGGACGGAGACAAGAGATCCAAGAGATTTGGATAAAGTGAGTGTTGTCGAGTTCGAGTCATTGCAATGGCTTAAGCGCCCGCCGATGGAATGGCCGCGAGTCACGCGAATTGTGAGAACATGACCCAGCCTCCGAGTCGGTGGCGCGCGCGATGCACTCAGACAGTTCCCCGACCACAGCTTGCTTGTGTGTTGTTGTACTAGCACTCAATCTACGTCTGTGACTGTGTTACTTACACAATGGTGCGCCGTTCCAATTTCTTCGTGTTACGATGCTAAACAAGCCTACTGCAGGGTGTACCGGCATTATTTCGCTGGCTCAGCAAAAAGTATCCTAAGATCAGTGAGTGCTGTACATTACCGAGTCTGTGGAAGCTCTGACTAAGGCGTTTTTCAGTCCTTCCAGTTGTAGAAGAAGAAGAATCAAAGATTCCAGATGTTGAAGGCAACGAGGTCGTAATTCCCATCGATATTTCTCGTCCTAATCCTAATGACATGGAGTTCGACAACCTCTACCTGGACATGAATAATATTGTGAGTATTGCTCCTCCGACGAGCAGCCGAGATTCACTTTTCCTAGGTTCATCCCTGTACACATCCTGAAGGAAAAGTAAGTGGTACTTCTTAGCTTAATCCGGTGCCGTTGTTCGATGTTGATGCATCACAGCCGGCCCCAGAAACAGAGGAAGAGATGATGCTCGAAGTTTTCAAATATACTGAACGACTTGTGAATATGGTCCGTCCTCGCAGACTCCTGTTCATGGCCGTCGACGGTGTCGCTCCTCGTGCCAAGATGAATCAACAACGGTCTCGGCGTTTCCGGTCTTCGCAAGAGGCGAAGGATAAAGAAGAGGCTCATAAGGAGGCAATAGCCATGTGGGAAGGTATGGTGCCAGATATTTTCTCAATATGGGGACGCCTGTTGCTAATTTTGGAAACTCATCAAGCCATGGGTAAAACGTTGAGCGAAGAGGAGAAGAACAAAAAATCCTGGGATTCCAATGCAATCACTCCCGGAACCCCATTCATGGATCTTTTAGCATCGTCGTTGAGATACTGGGTAGCCCACAAAATGAACACGGACCCGGGGTGGAGTCAAGTAAGTCGTCTAACGCCATGCAGTTGGAACTGGCCATTATACCCATTTGTGCTATAGTTACAGGTTATCATATCTGATGCAAACGTCCCGGGTGAAGGAGAACACAAAATTATGGAGTTCATCAGACGACAGCGTTCCAACCCTGGCCACGATCCTAATACTCGACATGTAATATACGGATTGGTAAGTGTCCTCTTGCAGAACACGATTTCAGCGTACTTAGGACGTTTGAAGGATGCGGATCTCATCATGCTATCGTTAGCTACCCATGAACCCTACTTTCGAGTGCTTCGAGAAGACGTCTTTTTTCAGGAAGGTAGTCGCACTGCGTGTCGCATTTGCGGGCAGGAAGGGCACTACGCTGCACAATGTACTGGTCAGAAGGCAGAAATTTCAAAACCTCCCCCAGAAAAGAAACCTTACGTGTTTCTCGATGTCGCTATTCTGCGCGAGTATCTCGAGGCCGAACTGAACCTGCCACATGCCCCGTTCCCATTTAATTTGGAACAAGCTATTGATGACTGGGTGTTCCTGATTTTCTTCGTTGGAAACGACTTTTTGCCTCATCTTCCATCACTTGAAATCAGAGAAGGAGCTATTGATACTCTCTTGAGGATCTGGCGAGAGGAGCTGCCTAGAATGGGCGGTTACCTCACCAATCATGGCCAAGTCGAGCTATCTAGGGCTCATATTATTCTAGAGGGTCTCGCTCAACGTGAAGATGACATTTTTCGCCGTCGGCGGGAAGGTCTGTCAATAGTAATGGGTGTATTTTGCATAATTTCTCACATTATCCGCGTTGTATAGCCGAGGAACGTCAAGACCACGAGGCAAAGCGTCGCAAGATTCAGAAAGATATGGCAGTTAAGGGTTCTGGGCCCTCGTCATCCTTAAATCTAGCTGCGCCCCCTACCGCTCCATCTTTAACGACGACGACTATTTCCCATCCACTGCCTGCTCGACCGGGTGGAGATTTTGCTGCGAATGCCGATAGCATCGGTCTAGGTGGACCGAAAAACGTAGAGACCGCTTTACACACTCCGGCGGCTGCTCAGGCACTCGCAGGATCGAATCGTGATGTGGTCGCAAACAGACGTGCCATTCGTATGGCAAACATGAGTGCTGCTGAGATGCTGAAGGCTGAGATGGCCGGGCTTGTACCCGTGAAACCTAGTGCTTCGTCAAAGCCTGCTGCAATTGTTAGCTCTGGTGATTCTCGTAGTCCCGAAGCTGCGACAGCGTACGCCGAAAATTCATACACGAATGGTGCTATGGATGGTGATAACGATGTTCCTGGTTTGGGCAACACGACTGTTAGCACTGAGGCGGTCGCAATTTCGGACGTCGCAACTCAAGCAGCTAGTGGGGATGAAGAGCCCGAGGCTACCATTGCTTCTGAAGATGCTACCATGTATCTTGAGGATAATAGTAAAGATTCACGTGGCATCAAGCGTAGTGTCGACGAGATGGATGAGGATGAGGAGAATGTCGGCTCTGACGACGAGGACACCTCACTATCTGCAACACTAGCCCTGAAGGTCAACCCAGATGGCTCAGTGGAACAGGAAGACTTCGTGAAGTAAATTTATAGCATTTTCTCTTTGAAATTGTTAACTTAGATTGATGCAAGGTTGTGGGAACCTGGGTACCAAGAACGATACTATCGTCAGAAATTTGGCGTTGAATATGGCGATGTCGAGTTTCGCAAAAAGTCGGTCATTATTAGGTTGTGGATATGAGGTTCTAAAAATCTTAATTTTCTAGGGTCGCTAAGCATTATATTGAAGGGATGGCGTGGGTCCTACAATACTATTATCAAGGAGTACGTTGCACCTTTTTCTCTTTCGTCTTAATCCTAACGACCCATCTCATAAGACTCCATCATGGCAATGGTATTATCCATACCATTTCGCTCCTTTCGCATCGGACTTCAAGACTGCCCAGAACATGAGCATCAAATTCGATCCTGGCCAGCCTTTCAAGCCGTTTGAACAGCTGATGAGCGTCTTTCCTGCCGCAAGGTATGTCACAATGTTCGGCGCTCGGACTACTGGGATTCTAGCTGATGTCTTTCTTAAGCCGACATCTCATTCCCAAAGTCTTCCACGAGCTGATGACTGAGGAATCTTCGCCAATCATCGATTTCTATCCTTCAACGTTCCAAATTGATATGAATGGCAAGAAGATGGCGTGGCAGGGAGTCGCGTTGCTACCTTTTATAGACGAAAGGCGTCTGCTGGACGCAATGACGCCTCGCTATTCGAACCTCACCGATGAAGAAAAACGTCGCAATAAGTGGGGTAACAACGTTTTATATGTGTTCGAGGAACATTCGTTGTACCCTTCACTAGAAGCTTTGTACGGCAAACGCAAGACAGACGAGGTAAACCCTGCTGTTCTATGACCGCATCCATCCGGATATCTAACGTACTGCCTCAGCCAATGCCGGTGGACCCGAAAGCAAGCAAAGGGATCAACGGAAGCCTACTCCCTAATCCTGACTGTATTCCAGGCTCTACATACTACTCCCCCTTAAATGGTCAGAATTTAGCCGATATACGAAACGATAGGTCTTTGTCGGCGTGGTATCTCCCTCCCAAACAGCTAACGCCACACCGGTCGGTTTTGCTTCCGGGTGTGCGCAGGCCCAAGCCCGTCCTTTCACAAAATGATAGGGAAGTTGTAAAGCGCGGCCGTGGCCGTGGTCGCGGGCGCGGTGACGGTGGCCCTCCAGGACGTGGCATGCATCCAAGTGGGTCCTCGTATAGTGGAAATTCGTACAACAATGGTCGCGACTATGGAGGCCGGGGCGATCGACAATATGGGAGCGCATACAATCCACCAACTCATAACTCCTATGCGCAACCGCCCATGTCGTATCAGTCGCAGCCTTCCACTGATTACTATCCTGGCGCGAGGGGAGGCCCTCCTCCATCACACAGTGCTCCTCGCGGGAGAGGCTCGGCGAGAGGTCGTGGCTCTCAATCTGGTGGGCCGTATGGTGGCTATTCCAATGGCCAAGGGTATGGTGCAGGGAGCGTGGATAGTGGCTATGGAGGGTATGGAGGTGGGGGAGGGTATGGCGGGTACGGAGGTGGAGGTGGAGGCAGAGGTGGTGGAGGATACGGAGGATATCGCGACGGACCGACATCTAACAACGGCTACTCTGCACCCCGCGGTAACCCACCTTACGGTAATACACGCGGTGGTGCATATCAATCAAGAGGGAGAGGGAGAGGTGGTCGGTTTTAAGTGTCACTCTGCTTTTTGAACATCGCTTACATGTACACGCTGTATACTTATATGTATAGTTATCATGCTCACTTCTGGATGATGAGTCCACGAGACCGATGTAATGAGCTGGTCCCAATCCGACATACAGTATATTGAGCAAAGGTACATGCTGAACTTAAACATACAGGAGGCCCTTTAGGCCAGAATATTCCGATCCAACTTTGCATATAACGTCGCTCGAACGTAAGCATGAATGATTTCACATTTGAGGGCCCAACCCCCCTTCTCGTGGAGAAATGCATGTGAGATAGAGAGAATACTTCCTCTCCAGCTCCCGCATCTTAGCTCTTCTCTTCTTCTCTCTCTTGCGCATCTTCTTCTCGGCCTTCTTCTCGCGGCGAACGCGCCTGGCTTCGCGCATCTCGGCCATCTGACCTTCAACTTGGCGACCGTAAACACCGGCATAGGCGCCATATCGGCCGTACCTGTCGTCTCCCGAGTCATTGGAAGAATCGCCCGAACTGTCCGAATCAGAGTCGGACGGAGACGAGTAGGCATCGTATGTGTCAAAACCAGGCAAGTGGAGATCGACAATGCCGATGCTTTTGCCGGAGCGCCGCTCACGACCCTTGTATAGCACCAGCTCAACCCCGCGTTTGAGGAAGAAGGAAGCATTCCACAAGTCAATCAGATCAGCGGAAAGAGTGGAGCGTTTGGGCGGGCGGCCATCTGGTGCATAGTCTGGGACAGGAAGCCTGCCAGACCAAGCCATCGCAACATCCTGTATAGAACATTAGCCAACCACGCTATTCAGGACCATGTGAATACATACATTCATGAAACGTATCCAATCTTCATGGTAGACGTCATGAGGGACAAGGACAAGAGGCATGCGGGGTATGACTTCCAAAAAATCATCCATATCCTGAATCTTCATCATTTCAAAGTGAGTGTAAGGTTGCGCTAGGTTAGGAGGACGCGAGAATCCCTCCGGCGCCGAAAGCATCTGCTGCTGCTCGCCAGGCGCAAGAGGCATGCGAGGAGACGCACTTCGCTGGATACCAGTAGCGGGATAGCCACCAGCCCCAGCTCCATACGGGGCACCATATGCAGGGGCACCATACGCTCCAGGGGCGGGACCGTACGGTGACACGCCAGGGATAGGACTTGCGGCCCGTGAGAGAGGCCGTCTGATAGGCTGCCCTTCCATGACATGACCGGGAGGATATACCGCAGAACCAGGCCTAGGCGAGGCAGCGCGACCGATTGGGGGCTGATACGGAGACGGGGGGCGTTGCATCCCACCCGAGTAGGGCGACAAGGGGCGGGGCACCCCGGCCCCTGAAAATGGAGAAACCGGACGAGGCACTTGATACGGTGAGGCGGGTCGTTGCCCGACACCAGGATTGTGATAAGGCGACACAGGCCTGGCAATAGACACAGCGTCACCAGGACGCGGGGAGGGAGGGTAGCCGCTCGGACGAGAATACTGCTGTCCAGAAGCATACGCCGACGCAGCATAAGTGGAGGGCGGGGATCCAGTGTAAGCTGTCGATGCAGGCGTTGGGTATGCACCCGGAGCAGGATATTGAGGACCGCCAGGCGCCGGCTGGTATCCAGCAGGACGATCACCATAAAACGAACCTCGACGTGAACGAGGAGCAGGTATGTTTGCACTCATCTTGCGCTCATGCTCATACTCACGATCGCGGCGATCAAGATCAAGCTCCTGCATCCTGCGGTCAAGGTCACCACCAGCGTACGGCGGATACCCGCCATTGAAGCTAGGCCGACGCTGACGATCTGTGCGAACATCCCTCTCGCGAGCCTTGCGAAGTTCCTTGTCATCTCGCTCGCGACGTTCCTTGTCTTTCCTACGCCGTCTATCTTCGTCCCTTTGCCTGGATTCCCTCGCTCGATGAATAGCCAGACGACTCCGATAACGATCTGCTCACCATTCTCTGTTAGAACCCCCGTCAGTCTGAGAGCGGCCAAAGGATGCCATGAAATCCTGTAGACATCATTAGCACGATGTGTCTGTAGATTAGCTTATACTTGAATACCCACTGCGTTTGCCGGGGTGGCTCCCGCAGGTATCACCTGGGTCGCTTCCGCGGGCACCCATTGTATTCCACTCACAACCCCTTGGGGTGTTTGGTAGCTTATAGCCATTGAATATCAGAAGATATGCACTAGGACTAGCCAAGCGGCATCGTACCTCGCAGCGACAGCTCTGAAGCAGAGGTGCAAAACGCGGTCAGCAGCATGTACTTACGATCTATTTCCTTACACACCTGAAGAGGTGGTATACGGTCTGTCCATCTGTACCCGTCGTCGTCGTATAGGTAAACGATCCTGGTTGGATCTGTGACTGCTGAGGCTGCGGTGAAATGGGCGGTTGGAACTGCTGTGGCGGAATCACTGGCGATGTCCTGCCTGGAAAGGTCACTCCGCCATAGGACATGTCTGGAGGCTAACAACAATCGACTTTGCGTGAATATGCAACTCGATGAGCCGAACTGCAGTAGACGATGGTATCGATGTAAAAGTTAAATGGTAACGGAGATGGCTATCTGCTGCCCTCAGCTCCTGCCCGGCGCCATTCTACTGCATCGTGTACGGCAAGATCCCGTGCGCAGGACTGATAACATCCCACGTTCAGTCCCTCTAATACCGGGATGGTGGGCCGGATGTAGCGTTGCTGCCGTAGGGCCAGTAGCGATGTGCACCGAAAGCAGGAAAGGAGAGAGCCAATGGGACGAGGTAAGCAAAGTATGTACATCGTGAGCCTCTCATGAGAATCTCCACCACAGCAGGATGATCACGATTAAGGCAACCGCCCCCAGCGGTGCATATTGTCGTATCATGGCCTGAATGTTGATGTTCCTGGCCGCCTTCCGGTACTTCTCCGACTCTGAACGTAGCGAAGTTGACAGATGTGACATTCCTGTACTTCAATCAGCATACTACAGCGACAAGGCATCCCGACGGAAACATGCAAACGCACTATCAAGAGAATCTCCTCGCCACAGTAGCTCCTCCATATTCTTGGTCATGATACGCGTCACATCTTGCAATTCGTCATTCAGCTTGTCCACATGTGAGCTGCCTGCGGCGTTTGCAGTCCGCGTATCCTGGTATAGTCGAGCGGTCTTGCCCATAAACGTATCTGCAACGAGCATTAGAGGCTGTCGCCGTCGTCGCCGATATAGCCAACGCACCAAAACTAACAAACGCGTACGGTTTCCTTACAGTCTCCACTTTCGCACCGTATGATGTCAGAAATTCCTTTGATAGCTCGTCAAGGTATGAAAACGCGAGCTTTCTCGGGTATGACTTGTCCGCAATTACAAGGTAAACAACGCCATCCGCAATGAGGTAGCTGAAAAGTAGTCAATCCCCACTGAATGCGAAGACAACACACGACACATACTGAAGCGTATATGGCCCGCTTTCGATTGAGCACCGTGGTTCCGCATTGGGCGTAATGCGCCGGAAAACGAGCTTCGCTTGCTGCTTGTGTTCCTGAAGTGTTTGCTCTGTCTGCGTGTCCTTAAATCCTCAATGAACTCGTACAGGACCAGCGGTAGCGAACCTGTTCGTCGTCAACACTTGCTGCCAGAGGTAGGGCGTCGGAAGCTCGGACAATCAGGGTGGACCGAACCATTCTGAGTCAATCAAAGAAAAGAAGGGGGTCCGAGCAGTTCACAGAGTGGTTTCACAGAGATTACGGTGTGGTCGTACCGTGCACCTTCTAAACTACGTACAACGTTGGCGACTTGGAACTTCAAGGACATACGTGTTAGTATAGCACGTGATTCCATTAGCCCTAACCTCAATATCCGCCAGTTCCTCAGTGCGCCGTGACCAAGTATGTACTGCCAGCGTGGATGGCTTTGCTAAGAGGAATCAACGTACTCGGAGCTGCACCACAGGTCCTGCAACTCGACGAGAACGCAGACCGACTCGTCTCCGAACTCAGTCTCAGGATTCGGAATGAATTTCCTTCTATTATATCATCCTGAGTGTTTTGGTAAGTATTGGGTGTCCCTCAGGCTGTGTGGGAACGAGACCAGGTGGGACCTCGACACAGCTGAGGCAACGAGACCAGGCTTGACCAGGCGCACCACATCTAAGGAACGGACCGGATCTTCGGCACCTTACCAAGGACCATTGTCAGCGTCCCGCCCCTCCTTTCTTCCCCTCTGCATCCTCTAGTGCAAGATGGCGTCTTTGGGTCCTTTTGATTTCAAGAAGCAGGCAGGCATCTTCACTAGCTTGTCATACGCTTGACAATGCTGACGGAGAAACCAGCTCACGTTTTACGGTGCCTACCATTCAAACCCTATCAATATTAAGATCCATGAAGTATGCGTTCCCATGTTGATTTGGTATGTGACTTTGCGCGCTTCAACTGCAGCCAATTCACATCGAGCAGGTCAGGCCAGGTGCTGGCTTCAGCCATGCCCCTCCCTGAGGCCTTCCCCGCAATCCATACTGTCCTCAATCAGTACCTGGTATTCGACTTCAATTGGCCTGCCATTCATGCCCTAGTCTCCGTCCTCTACTACTTCGCCTTGGAGCCAACTGCGGCCGTAAGACATATTCGTGTAGCATGTTACCGCCACTCACGTTAGAGCAACTTGTTTAGATGCTGTATGTTCCGCAGTTTTCTCTGTCTCTTCTTTCTGCTACTGCTTTTGCCTACGCGGTCCCCGGCGCCATCAAGTACGCTGCCATCATGCACGTCTGTAGCTGGATTGCCCAGTTCATCGGGCACTATGGCCCAGAAGGTCGCTCGCCAGCCCTTCTTGACAACCTCCTTGGCGGTACGCAAATTGCTTTATAATATTCTACGTACAGTTTCACTCATGCGCCATCTGCAGCGGTCGTCTTGGCCCCCTTCTTTGTTCACTTGGAGATATTATTCGCGCTGGGCTATAAGCCTCAGTTGCACAAGGAGCTCAAGAATAGCATTGGGGTAGAGATCCTCAAGATCCAGCGCGCAAAGAAAGCAGCCTAGATAAGGTCATAGAGCGCGAGCGAGAGTCCTGCTATGAAGGCAATCAATATGTAGTGCTCCACTTGCTACTTCTCATTCTTATGCTGTGTGCACTGAATCTTGATCTTGTACTAGTTGGTTGCATGTTGGGTTCGGTGGCCAGCTATTGGTGATAATCACGCGCGATAGTGTATATCTATTTTTCTAGCCGTGTATATTTATATTCGAGACTATCTTGATACATTGTGTTCGTATGACAGGGGTTCATTCAATCAAGTTCATTATTATGTGCATACTCATACGAGGCTGGGCGGCGGGGTGAGTGCCGGTTCCCCCAACGGTGTCACGTAGCACGAGCTGAGACCGCCGTCAACTTTGAAATCAGTGCCCTATAGTAACATTAGACAAGCAATTAACGGTAATTTGGATTCACCGAGGACGCACCGTTACATAGCTGCTGTCGTCACTTGCCACTGAGGTTGAAGCAGGACGAGTTAGATGCGCCTGAAATTATCCCGTGGTTGTGACGTACAGAAAAGCGCTCCGCGAGCTACTTCGATAGCTTCACCGAACCGGCCCATAGGTAAATGGACCAGTCGGCGGTCCTTCTTCTCCTGCGTGTTGAGAAAGTCCATCAATAGGGCTATGAATGAAACGCGTTTTGGAGATCAATACAGCCGTTAGTATACTCATGTTTTCGAGTCTATGTCTCTACGATGCACGTACGGGTTTTGAGAGGGCCCCTGGGAGTATGGTCAGTGACATTCAGTTCAGGTCTTGCAGAGGCTGCGCAAATACATACGGGCAAATTGAGTTAATACGGATACCCTCTCTCGCGTGTACCATAGCTAGCTCGCGGGTCATGGCAAGAACCGCACCCTATACGAGCGTATCTGTTCGTGTAACTCACATATCATAAAGGGACAGCTCGCTTACCTTCGAAGCCGTGTCTGTAAGTACAACGTAGTGATAAGGGCTTGGTCAAAATGATTCAAGCCAAGTCCTTACAAGCCAATTGAGGGGTGGCAGCACCCAAGATTGCCACAAAGCTGGCCGTGTTAATGATGCTGCCGCCAGTGCGCAAACCTTTACTCTCGTCCACGGGGTTATTGCGCATCGCAAGGATCGCATACTTACACCCCCACCAGACACCCTTCACGTTGATGCTCATCGTAAGATCCCATATCCGCTCTTCAGTGTTCAGCGCATTATCATCTTCAGGGTGCATGATGCCTTAGGTGTTACGATTTAAGCTCCTCGACAAGAAAGCGGACGTATATTAGGGATGCGCACCAGCATTGTTGAACTATCCTCAAAACAAGTCCGAACCGATCATGAGCAAACACGATTCGAGTGAGCAACCATGGAACCCACCATAACATCTAGACGGCCGAACGCGTCGACGGTCTCCTGCACCATACGCTTCACGTTCTCCTCTTTGCTCACATCAGCCTGGATTGGGATCGATTTGATGTTGGGAAAGCGCTCTGCGATCAGCTTGTGCGTGTTCTGCACCGCCTGGTTGTTTACATCTACGAGCGCAACATGTGCACCCTCCTGTGCAAACAGGATGGATGCCTCTAGGCCAATGCCTCTAGAATAATGGTCTGTCAATATGAGGCTTTAGGGCGTGATGTCCACTCAGCGACGTACGACCCAGCACCGGTGATGAGAGTAACCTAGATCAGATCGATCAGGCGATGCTGAGGAGTAATAGGCCCTTGTCAATGTTATGCTGACCTTGTTCTGAAGACGAGCGGACATAGCTATCCAAGTGCGCAAGAAATGTGCGAGGCGATGAATGGGATCAAGGCTTCAAGCTTCAAGCCCAGGTTGCAAAGGACGCGATTAACTTCGCGGTCACGTGCACCGCGTCGATTACGCTCCCGCAAGCGCTTAAAGTTAGTGCTGGGTCTCGGGAATGGGATCAAACCCGACTTAGACTGTTTCACCACTGACCAGACCTGCCTATAATACAACCCTCGTTCCCGGCATACCCTGCCTGGTCTCGTGCTATGCAAGTTCAACAGGCTTGTTGTGCACCTCGCGTTTTGGTGTTTCGTTTTTTCGCCACTGCGTAATCCTGTCGTCAACTGTCCTCTCGCAAGCGACGGGTCATGGAGGTGTCAGTTACCAGGCGTTACCCGGATTACCCATGCTAATATGCTTGGAGTCGCTCTCACCACTAAATTCTGATCGGAACTTTCAGCGAGCTTGAATGTCACGAGAAAAAGGTCGATGTTGAGGACGAGAAGGTAAGTGTAACAGCGAACCCTTGCTCATTTGCGGTGCTGCTTAAGTTATGCAGTATGACGCTGTGGGTGTTCGCGGTTCAATCGTTCAGACGAGACTTCTTGCAATTTCAGACTCATCATATGTATCTGATGGGATGGGGCATGCTGCTTGATGGATCTGCCGTGATCGTCTACCGCGACACGCTGCAGATGGCCCGGCCGAAAAATCTCTAGCGCGTCTTGTACGTGCCTGACACAAGCTAGTGCGAAGAAGCCCGGGACTACTTACTGGTAGTAGCTCTAGGCGGGAACGATAGCAATGGCGAGTGTCGTAGGATTCTGCTTTCCACATCACGCACATTCCGAGTTCTGCTTAAAGTACTCAGAGCCTGAGTGAAGGGTAGGGTCGCCACCGCCGACCCCGAGACTACGGTGTTGACATCGCTCCTCAGATCTCCGCGCGTATCGGCGGTACCACGTAGTTACCAGCCGGTCGCCATTGAGATCCAGCACGGCTATCATTCAATTCCATAAACGTAGCGTTCATGGTAAGGTATCGGTATGTACTTATAAGAGCCAACTCATCGCACTTCAATCCGCATCGTCCCGACTCTGGTTGCTGGCTTCCGGAATGTGGCCAGCTCTAATAACCCTAGTGCTTTCGTGCACTGTCTTTCTCTCTCTCAAATCATTCCTGGACGAGAAGCGTCGCGGTCGTCTTCCCCCTGGTCCCAGAGGCTGGCCTCTCATCGGTAACGTCCTCGATTTCCCCACCACCCAGCAATGGAAAACATTCGCGCAGTGGGGTGAAAAATGGGGTCAGTCTTCGTTCACTTCGTCCCAGCTGTCTCCTCACACAATATGTCCCTTAGGCCCGCTCATGTCGATAAGTCTGCTCGGGCGGCGCATGGTGATCATCAACTCGGCTAAGGTTGCAGTCGAGATGCTGGACAAGAAGAGCACTATTTATTCGAACAGACCGAAGTTTATCGTCGCGGGCGAGATGGTGGGCTGGGAGACGATAGGATCTATGATCCAATATGGCCCCCGGTATCGCGATACCCGCCGCCTCTACTCCCAGCTGATGGGCAGTCGCGAGAAGGTAAATGGGTTGAAGTCCCAGGTTGAGCTCGCTAGCCGTAAATTCCTTCTGCGCCTTTTGCGCAAGCCGGAGGATCTCCCCGCTCAGCTTCGTTTGTCAGTGTTTCTTGTTGTATATCTTAAAATGGACTCATGGAATTTAAAACAGGATGGCTGCATCCACCATGCTGATGCTCGCATACGGATATACTGTACAAGAGAACGAAGACCCCATTGTGAAGGCGGTTGAGATTGCGATGGGAGAGGCGACTCGAGCTCTTTCCCCCGGCGCGTTCCTCGTTGAGGTATTCCCTATATGTAAGTGCTCTTCTACCGGATATGGATGAGTGAGCGTTTGGTTTATCTTTCGACGTAGTGAAACACGTCCCAGAGTGGGTGCCGGGCTTTGCTTGGAAGAAGGAAGCCAAGGTTATGAAGCGCAATCTGCAGAATATGTGTGACATGCCGTTTGAATTCGCCAAGAAGCAGATGGTAAGTCGAAAAAGTACAGTTCAACTTGTGTCGTATTGAAACTCGGTTAGGCCGCTGGTACAGATATCCCCAACCTTACGTCGCGCAATCTGCCCAGTTGCACTGATCCGGAACGCGAACAACTTTTAAAAGATGCTGCATCTGCAATATATGCGGGCAAGTGTCAAGCTCAATAGGTGTGAGTTAGCTATCACTGATCTTCTGGTTTGTTCGCTATATTAGGTGGATCCGACACGGTATGTCCAGATCAGTATCGTGACGTGCTCAGATGCTGACATCCACTAAGACCGTGTCTTCGATCACTTCCTTCTTCCTTGCCATGATGTGCTACCCGGAAGTACAGCGCAGAGCACAAGAAGAAATCGACACCATTATTGGGACTGATAGGCTCCCGACGCTTGCGGATCGCGATAGCTTGCCTTATGTTTCTGCTGTTTGTTCCGAGGTTATGCGAATGTTCGTCACTGTGCCGACAGGTTTCCCCCACGTTCTGAGCGAAGATGACGTCCATGATGGCCACTACCTTCCCAAGGACACCTTTATAATCGCAAATATCTGGTATGTATGCAAACCTATTCGTCTCTGTACCCCAACTAATGATTTCTATTCGAAGGCAATTCTGCCGTGATTCTGCTACATATGCCGACCCATTTGTGTTCAACCCCGACCGGTTCCTCTCATCGGAAGGCAAAGTCGCAGAACCTGATCCTCGCAAACTGATCTTCGGCTTCGGAAGGCGGTGAGTCTCGAATAACAAAAGCAAAGGATGGCCGTGCTGATTTGTACACTACATCCAGAGTTTGTCCGGGTATGCTTATTTGTTTTTGATCCTGTCATGCTTCATTCTCTGAATACTGCTACAGGTGCCGACTTCGCGGATGCGGTGATTTTCGAGACATGCGCTGTGTCCCTCGCGGTATATAATGTCTCGAAACCTATCAAGGACGGCGTCACAGTGGAGCCCAGTATGGAGATGACCAGCGGAGTCATTGTGTGAGTGTGATAGCTCACGACGCGTCCGATGTTCTCAACCAATGACGTGCTCAGCCATCCAGAGCCTTTCGAGGTTTCCATCAAGCCCAGGTCGGCAAAGGCGGAGGCACTTATTCGAAGCGCAGAAGAGCTCGAGGACTAGTTTCGAGCCGCGCTAGCTATCGACCTCTGGGTGCTCACATGCACGCTGCCCATGCAACATGCCAGAGTCGCGAGCAGGGACCGCGTCGATTCTGCCGGATAGACGGAGAGTCAACTCCCTGTATCTAGATGAAGCAGCTTCGTGCCCCTTCACCTAATCTTTCGTTTGGGCCGTATTCCCGTTTGCTATACCAATACGTTCTTTCTATTACACTCTTTTCAATATCATCCTTCTGGGCTGCGTTTTATCACGAATACTTGCCTTGAACTTGATCCTTAGAAGGAATGGGACTACACCCGTCGTCACACGAGATTCAGAACGGCTGCAACTGTCACCCTTCGAGTCTTCCCTACTTATGGATGCTCTTGATGGGGTAGAATTCGTGATTGACCAAATTCTATTTCTCGTGTGCGCAATGGTGTTGCGTACTTGTGTGATTTTCGTGTTTTGCATATCAAAGCTGGTGTCTGCTCAGTTGAGTGCTACCAACACCCAATATTACACCCAAGTTTAATACCAGGGATCAATTACAAGTGTCGGCAATGACACTATGACGTTAAAATTACGGTATAGTAACATAACCCGGTCTCCATGCGTGCTAGCACAGTACTGTCCAGGAGTTCACAATTAGGGACATCCTTGCCGCGCGCTGGCGGCTTGTGCACAGGCGCATCCACAGCCTGATGCACAAAATGAGTCTCGTCGTGCCTCCCAGCAAGCGAGGTGCGTAACGTGAGCGCACGTCATGCAGTTGTATGATAGCCCTGTGCCGAGTGAAGGTCAGCAGCGACTATGAACTGGTGTAGCGCACATCTTACCTTTCACTGGCAGACGACAGACTGAGCAACGGGCTCGACTAGCACGGCGCATACAGGACGAGCAGGCCCGATCTAATTCGCCCTCTTCAAGGATACCGTGCTCACAGACATAAGTATACCCTGCAAAGCGATAAGCATGAGCACAAAAAGGAGATCTGATTGTGTTCTGCACGCACCCAAGCCGTCTGAACCAATCGATCTCTCGATGATTACAGGGTCAACAGGCGTTGACCGAAGTTCCCTCTCGACCGATTTAAGGAGTTCCGACCGTTTTGCAGGCAGTTGCCAGGCTAGTAGAACTTCTGCATAGAACATTACATGGCATAATAGTTGACCACGCATGTCCAGCTAGAATCACCTGAGAACACAGCCAGGCCTATGACTAAATAGTAGACTTACAGTTAGTTCTTGTTGCCAGACTCGTGGCCAAACATTGACCAGGATGCGTTTCTTATCGACTGTCATTGGACGGGTGGACAAGACTTGCGAAAATGTGGGGTGCCTCACATGCCCCGCCGACGAGAACGTGACGGTTGATGCAATAGGCGGTAAAACGGTGGCTTCAGACCAGGATTTAGTCGTTGGTGTAGGCGGCTGTGGATCTCTGCGATGTCCTTGAAGAGGCGAAGAGTATCCACGTTGCATACGGGGATTCTCAGGAACGGGTATCGCCGTCCTGGTTCTGGGGCCTATGCGGTAGAATTGATTAAATTATCAAGGTAAATGAAGCCTACGGGTGATTTTAACGTACCACCGACAAAGTGTCGCATGGTGTTCGCGTTGAACAAACTGGACCATGAACCGCGGGACGAAGACGGGGAATCGAGCGCAGGCGCTATGTGTTGGAAAGACGACGAAGGCGACCCAGGGGACCAAATGGGAGATAAAGACAAATTCTTGTGATTGAGGGGCCTCCGGAACTCACTGGCGGGCGTATTGACATCAGGTGTTTGGGAAGAATTGGTCGCTAACGAAAATATTGGGTCAGAATATATTAGAGACAGGAGATGCATAGGATGAGTTATACTCACGCATGGATGAAATTCTCAAAAGAAATAGAGATAGCATCGCCAACATTTGGATGTCCTTATTTCTCGATAAGTCATCATATCTGCAAACCAATTAGTAGAGGATCGATAGAGGAACGCAAACTACTTACAATTTTTTAACAACATGCATGATCATCAGGTCATTCGCAGCGTTCGCCATTGAATCAGGTGGCGTGCTATAATAGCTTTTGCTAAATCCAACGAGCACGGCTCCGAGGACTTTGAACACCCGTTCATGATCTACGCGCCCTCTAATTCTAGCAATTTCAGCATTTTTCTTGCAAGTATCAGGCGGATCAGAGATATCGAAGATGTAATCCTGCGCAGCGGCGATGTCTATCCCGGCGAGCACAGATGCATCTTTGATGAAAACAGTGCTGCGTCTCGTGGGTAGAAGAGAATAAGCGGAAGGCATGTCTTCGTATGACTTAGAAGGCTCTGACACCCGCCGAGACTTGTATTGAGGAAACGTGAACAAATTCGTCATGATCCGTAAGATGTTGTTGGCATCGTCAGCTGGTCGCAAGTCTACGACTTCATCCCGGTCCTGCGCAGCATGACTAAGAAGGCGAACCGCATCAGAAAGGAAGACTGGTGATCGAAACAACCGGGGTGCAGTGTCCATACTATGTGATGGTAGAGACGGCGAGACTGATATTTCTCTCATGGGGTTGCGTACAATCCGTGGTGGTGCGCGAAAGAAACATACCAATGCTCCTGCGAGCTCCAGCTATTCAACAACGTTGTTGGTCAAGATACCAGACATATCACTCACCATTGACACTAAAGACACCTTGCGATGTCCTGGGCTCGGCTAGGTTTTTGTCACTGCGCAGTAACGAAAAACTAGCGCCTCTACGAGTACGGGGAGGCTTCGGAGCGTCTTCATCTGACGATGATTCAGAGTCCATGCCAGGATGTCGACCAGCTGTATCATCTTCGTCTCCCATTAATAAAAAGCGTAAACACTTTTCTAGACACGGGCGATTCTTCTCGCGAATAGCACGAAGACGTCGGAGCATAAATGCACGACTCTTCATAGAAATCAGCGGGTTTCTTTCCAAGTCAACACTCGGTGTGCCTTGTGGGTGGGATGCTTGAGGGTAGTCTCGAGGAAAAGTAAATGATACTCGAATGAAGACTGAAGTGGAGTCGCCCCACGGCCCATGCAAACCGAACGTACATGTCCTTTTCTTCGTGAGTTCCGCCTGGGAGATGGACTTAATCTTATGACGAAAAATCAATCAATAATGGGAGTCACCTTCTCGAGTTTGACCTTTGAGGTGCTCAATCGACTCACTACAGAAGTGATTCTACAAAAACATCAAGCTGGAATGCATGGGTCCATAAAGTCAGATCACTTACTCGTCCTGTAGTGATTGAATTGAATCTCCCTCATGGTATCCATCGTTTGATCTCTCTCCAGTATCACTAACAATCATGGACATCGCACGCGAAGCAGAACGGTCTAATAATGAGGGAGGTCTTGATTTTGAGTTGAATCGAGAAACGTTTCCACTGTCTGCACCACTACCCGGTCCTGAGCTCCCATCTCTTTTTGCGCCAACTTTCACACTGGAGAGCCAATCCAGCGCCGATATCTGAGACTTGCCACCAATATGCCCTCGAGTCATCGTCCCACCTTTCTCGTGCGCAATTGGAATGGGCTTCGATTGTGTGACAGAGCTATCCTTCCGAATGATTTCGGGCTCGGGTCGAGGCACATCCCATTCCGATGTAAAGCGTGTCTGATTAACTTTGACATGTCGGTTATGGAAAGGTGCACGAACTTCAGCGAGTATCGCCCTGTTGCCGACGGGTGCAGATAGTGCGGGGGGAAGGTCTGTACCAACAGGCGGATTACTGAAAGTGACCTTCGGTTCCGTGTGCTGTGGCATGGCGAAGCCAGGAGGCACACATGGCTGATTCCCTGCTTTCTATGTCAAGCAGAGCAGCTTTAGTTACTTTGACGTTATCTTACGCGCTTAAACATACCTGCATGACGTCTGGGTCCACAGGCCAGAAGCGCAGAGTTTTGTCTTTTGACCATGTGATCAACTGGAACTCTAAGAAGGTAGAACATTCAGAGTTAAGTCAGTGCTCAGTCGATGCTCTGAACCTACCAGATCCCCCTCTTCGCCACACAAATTCCTTAACAACGTCAGCATGACCCTCAAATATTTCAACAGGTATCAGAGGATTATCATGGCTATACATCTCCAATGCTGTCTGACCGCGCTGGGGTAAGCTGAGCAACCCTTGTCCAAATGGAAGATCGCGAGCACGCCACACTGGATATTCAGTTTGTATGGTAATCTTCGGCTCTGATGGCATAAGATTCTGGGTGTCCCAGATCTTGATAGTTTTATCGAGAGAACAAGTGACAATCTCGTTGGTCCTCTCATGAGCCCAGTCAATACCATAGATCTTCGCAGTGTGTGCTTGTATTCGAGATATGGGTAGTGACCCTTTCTGAAGGTGGAATATGTCAAGAGTAGCAAGAAACTATAGGGAGTGTCTTACTCGTCGATCCCACAGAAGAACTTCGTTTTGATGTGAAGATGCAAGTAAATTACCATCACGGCGATTCCATTTGACCTGGGTCCCTCCGGCTTAAATGTCATGATTAATACTAAGCACACAGTGATCAGCAACAAGCTCACATCCGAAGGCACAGAGACCTGACAGCAGTGAGATTTCATACTAGGAATGTACAAAATGAAGCTCACCCATAATCGGCTTTTGCGTTGCCCGTAGGTCCCATGCCCATAGCCATGAATCGATGCCTGTGCTGACAACAATATCTGGATCGGTTGTATGCCAATTAATGTCGGTGATGGCACGATAATGAGACCGCAGCACATGTTCAATGGAAGTCTTCCCCGTAAGAAAGAGGTTCCATATCAGACTAACGTCGATGTTAGGCATATGTTTCAACACGCGACCATGCCAAAACACACAGTTTCTCGCTAGAAGTCGATACGATGTACTCGCCGCGAACAACATGCGGGTTCCATTGGACGTCTGCTACGTCCCATGTACCTCCCTGAGGGAGAAAACTAGCCAGTTCTTAGTGTTCGCTGGGACTGCGTATAATATATATATACCGTGGCACGTTGAGAGGGGCTTCAAGGTCAATGATGAAAAGACCATTGCGACTATACAAGAGAGTGCGTCAATTGGGGCGATGGTGATGTAGTGTGGTACGTACGTAGCTAATACTACATCTCGGCTGCCGGGACTGATACTCATCTATATGAAGATCCAGATATAAAACTCAGCCTTTCTTTGCATCCTTTACGAACCTACACATGCCCTCAGAAAGACACGAGACTCACGTTTCCAATCGCATCACCCACCAATCCCTTCATATCAATCTGTAAACTGCGCCGGAAGTTACTTCCATCTTCGGGGGATGAGGGTCCCGGCTCGACCGAGTGAATGCTAGTACCAGCGACGATAGCCATAGCTCGCCTTTACCCCCCGACAATATCGTTCATACCAGAAAGAGAACTCGAGACCCACAGACCACGATAGTGTAATTCAGAGAGCACAGAGCCAACTTCCTCGTGAGATTTGTAAACGTGACTGTCGAGAAGATGTCAGCCACTGGGTAGCCCGCGTATACAGTCTCGAGACTTGTAAGTTGTGTGTGCTTTGTCTGCGTCGTCCGCTGGCTGTGCCAAACCCAGCGTCTAATTTAGCCACCTGGAGGTGTATCAAGGTGTATCAGCGCTTCATCCGTAAACGGCACATCCCGACGGCTTGTCTCTGAGCCACCAAGCTAGGAGCCGCGTTGAACTTGGCACTGCACCTTACGCTGCCCGCTGTAGTCGTATGTCTATAGCTAGCTGGTGGCCAGAAACAGCGTGTTGTCAACACATGCACATCAAAACCGCGATGTTGACTTGGAATCTATCTTATGAATCACACTAACCCGCGAGATGTTCACCGGATATAGCCTTGGGATGTCGACACCCCGATCTACTTGCTAAATGTGAGCTCACTGGGATGTGCACTCGGAAACTTGAGATGGTTATCTGCATGGATTGAGCCACTCATGGCCTGCTGCGGATGCATCCCGCAGTTGCATCCATTTCTCAACCTTATCCGCGCACTCTGGCGAGATTGTTCTTCGATAGTGAAAGATTCGTTGGTACGTCCGATAGCACGTTACTTTCCGCTCAGAGCTGCTTAATTTTACGTATATTATATCACAAGCTCATAAAAGTACTTCATTCTCAAATCTCATCGTCGCCATATTCACCCTTTTTACGTCGTCTGGGTTTAGTTCAAACATCTCGGAAAGATGTTTGCTTCACTGAGCTTGCGGGAGGTTGAACCAGCCCATCGTACTGACAATCTGTATGCAAGTAAGTGATTTCACCCAGGATTCCCTCTACCCAAGATTCCCGAGGAACCTACGCGGCGATCGTTCCACGTAAGCAGCCTCGGCTATTCGTGTAAGTTCTCTCAGAAGCTATCATATTCGAATTTTGAGCTGCTGCATTGAAACGCTGGAGCAACTCGTCTAACGTGACCGCTTGGACAGCAGTTCTGGATGTGTTCAGAGCCTGATCTTTGATGTAAGTAAGGAGCAACGTTGTTCCAGAACTCCTCGGAGTTGTCCTCAGATGGAATGCTCGGAAAAAGCTGCTGCGATATCCACTCTCCACCATAGCCTGTGATTGTCCAGCGACAGGCCAGACTGTGGCCAATAGCGCCCATTTGGAATTAAATCCTGGAATGGTATGTACTGTCATTGACTGGCCTTCACCTATTCCAATATCAGTGACGAATGGCAGATTCCACTCCGGCGATTTGAGTTTGAGCCTCATGGTAGTAAGCTAGCCCTTCTACGTATTCCTCGGCCTAAATCGGCTTAAACGTTGTGTTGGGTATAGGGTCTCTTATGACCCCTTAGGAATTGTACATCTCGTGTGCTTCCCATTCGCATCATCGAATCTACGAGTGCAGCGGCATCGAATTCATCGCACCTCTTGCAGCATCCATGAGGCATAAGCGTCCACCATGACGCTTCCACGTTGATTGGGCTATAATATGCAGGGTAATCGCCCTCGCCCTTTTACTGCGGAGACTCTCCCATCCACACTGTCTGCGTTAACGATACTTCCCGCTCAATCTTCTCCGATGGCATACGCTGCCTACGATACTGGTACCTACCCTCAATTGCGGCGCTCATTATCTTATGGACAGCAATACGCCGGCTATCCTCATAGTGACTATATGTATGACCAACCCGTTGCTGCTGGAGTGTACGGAGATGTGAGTAAGCGAAATCGTTTCGAGTGTGTCGACTCTCATTCAACTGCACAGCAGACTTACCCTCAAGTCCAGGGTTCCTATCCTGCTTATGCGCCTTCGCGCACTGTCAGCCAGTATCACCGTAAGAAATCTTGTTTGATTTGATGTTGCACTCCTTCATTTACGTTCATGCAGCATATGATGACATGGCGATCAGAGACTCCTATTATCCAGAATATGCCACCTCTGGCTACGGTACCCCGTATGCGCCTAGTCTGGCCCGGCGTCGTTCTTCGCGACGGTCGCGTGTTGGGTTCGAAGGACATCGCCGAAACAGCTCAATGATCAAGTTCAAGAGAAAAGGTGGTTTCCGCTCCGGAATCATGCTCGGAGAGGCAATGGCCAACGTGCAACTTTCTTCCAACGATTACTATACTTCGTATGATTTGGGTGCAGACCATAGGGGCAAGATTTCGCTGAGGATCCGGGTAAGCACCCTCCAATCGTATCACGTTGACGCAGCGAGGAGCTAAACTCTATTGACTGTTTCAAAAGTGGACGGGATACACGTCCATGACATATGATCTACCCGTGGACAGCTATGATGGGCGTGTGGAACTGCAGACACTCGCGCGAAGAGTGGCTCGTGCCTGCATGCATTTCATTCAGGCGAGTGCTTTCACACAGTCTACAGTCACATTGCTCATTCTTTGTGGCCAGACTAATATGATCCCTGTTGCGTGGGATCGCATCATGTTGTTCCAACTCGAGGAAACGGGTACAGGATTGTGGCAGCCTGTTCTGTCCAGCGGTTGAGACAAAATCCAGTGGATCAAAGTATCTGTACCAATTCGGACGATCAGAACAATTGTGCTACCGCGCTCGACGAAAGGAGTTCAGGTCATACCTATTTATTGAGCTGGCACTCGCTGTGCTCATGGTGCTCCATTTACTTATATGTATAGCTTAAAATTGATTTGATGTAGAGGTAGTCGGTGTTCTGATTAACGCAGTGTTGTTCGCGTGGGATGTTTGATGACTTTGTGAATTCATTGTAGGTGGCGTACTATATGATTATGGTGTGACACTCTTCAAGGATCCAGTTTCCACACGAAAATACATCGTTTCCCCGCCACTAAAATACCACGCAATCACCTCGTTTTCTTCCGGGCATGTCATGTGGTCGGCCGCATTAGAAAGGTGCAACATCCATAATCGCGATGGATATCACAACGCGGGATGGGTGACGGAGGTGACATTCGAGCATTTGGCAGACGAGCCCACCGGTCTGAAGACGCGGTAGCGATCCTACTAGGTTGCCATAAAGAGTCGCAAACGAATCAGATCTCACTTCGATCAAACCGGTAGGACTCCGTCTGGCTCGTAACTTAGGCTTATGGTAGACATATCGCCCGATGATATAGCTTCAGCTGTTGCAGGACTCTACACGTCTTTCAAGGGCATCAAACCTCCTGCTGGGCAATGCACCGTCCTAGCCTCGTTCGCGCTGTCCAGTGCAGAAACCGTCAAAATCATATCCATCGGCAGCGGATCTAAATGTCTACCTACAAACCGATTCCCCAGAGAGGGGGACGCCCTGCATGACAGCCATGCTGAGGTCCTGGCCCGAAGAGGTGCTGTGCGCTGGTTTCTTGAAGAAATTTTGCGTGTCACCGCGAAATTAACCTCTAAGTACGAGTCGCCATGGATCTACAAGGCGAAGAACGGAAAGTTTGGCCTACGTGAAGGTATCCGCGTACACTTGTATACTTCCACCGTTCCTTGTAAGGCATTCATCACACGATCCCTGTGGTATATAGTAATCTGGATCTGATACAGGCGGCGATGCGTCCACTCAATTCCTGGCTTCATCCCAAGATGAAAAAATGGCTACGCTCAAAAATTCTGCTCAATTTCCAGAGCTTCCACCTAATACCGCTTCCCGGGGTCGCGATAATTACTCCCTCTTTGGTGTCCTACGCACGAAACCAGGGCGCGCCGACTCTCTGCCAACAACATGCATGTCCTGCAGTGACAAGATTGCGCGATGGAACGTCTTGGGTTTCCAGGGTGCACTGGCGTCATATTTTCTGAATCCACTTTACATTTCATACATCGTTATTGGTGAAGTCGAGCCTAGCCTGCAGAAGATGGTCAAGAACGACTGTGAGCGGGCGTTTTGGGGTAGACTCGGCACGCATGATTGTTCGTCCCTATCTCCTCACAGCTTTCTTGATATCATCTTATGAATATTATTAGTATTGCGACTCCCGTTTGGTTATAGATTGAATGAACCCACTGTCGAGTTCACTTCCGTACCATTCATTCATTCTAGAATGATGCTTGGCGTGTCGAAGTCATGCAATGATTGTAGGTAACTGTCCGTAAGCTTACTGAATTCTGCACCTAATAATGATGGTCTTTAGCATTGTGCTGGACAGCTGCTTCCGCTACCGGCCCCGAGGTGCTCATAAACGGCATAAGGCGTGGTGTACCTCCGAAGCATCACCACAACGCAAAATTCAGGTGCCATATCATGGTTCATGTTTGCACGGGCCGCGCCACTGATGTGTCTGCAGACCACGTTTATGCAAGCTGTCGTTATTAGAACTGTACCTCGAGGTGGCCAAGAACCTTACGCGTCCCGTGCAGTTACAGTGAGAACCCTCCTTTTCCGGCCCTTCCAGTAGCGAGTGGCTCACGTATCCTTCAGACTAACTTACAATGAGTTGAAGATGGCATCAACTGACTATCAAATGGGTAAATCTGTATTGCATGATAGCAACGGCCCCTTTGCTGGGTGGATCATGAGCGGCAGCCACTGGGAAAACTTCACAGCTTACCCCCAGAACCGGTCTCCGTTATTGGAGAGTGACGACGTGCATCACCAGTCAGACGATCTCCCGAGCACCAGCGTGGACATATGGAAAGCTGAATCATGAATGGAATACACCACCAAAATAACATAATACGTGAAAATCATAAACAACATTACAACATCCGGATTTATGGTGTCAAAAGGTACATAAGCTATCTGTCTACGATGAAGGCGTGAGGCCGATAAATTCTAGAAACATTATATCGGTGGAGCATACCACGTGGGGCGTCGAGTCATACAGGTCCATGAGGATAAAGTATGCACGTTTAATTGGACGATAGAGGCGTATCAAGGGGCAAGTCAGTGGCTGAGATATCAGGTGAAAGAGTTTTCGCAACAATATCAGGCGAGCCAGCAACAGTGGATAAGTCATCGTCACTCTGGGGGTCAAGTATAGGACTTGAGCCTTGTGAGCGAGAAGTGGCCTCTGCAAGCTCTTTACGCAAGGCCTCCAATTCTCGTTCAAACCTAAAACCCAAGGGATATCAACGCATGGACAATGGAATGAGATGGAATATGCGTACTTTCGCCCGAATACCTCAATGTAGAACCCTCCTCCGTTCCACACGCTGACGGCGAAGATGAAAATAAGGAACACCCCACTCCAGAGAGAGCTGTCATAAAGGAGGAAAACGGCCGGCAATTCAGTCAGGACGGAGTATACTGAATGGCGCATCAGATAGTATCTAACTGACATGTGATGTAGGTTGACTTACCAAGCTGTCCTATCATAAACACGGTCTCCCGATACTGTCGTGGAACTTTCGACAACGCTCGTCCAATGACACCTCTCTTGTCGTTCAACAGGAACGAAAGCGATGTCATACGCTGCCCCGATTCAATTTTGGTTCGGCGGTCGATGAAGACGAACTATACGAGCAACATTATTAATGGAATAACGACATATGAGACTCTTAACGGACCTTCCAATAGAGTGTTTGCCATATCAAATCTGTGAGTCAGCGCTTAGCAAATTAGTGGGTCAGAATGAATAATATGGACGCACAGATGGCTCCGCTCAATAACAGCGCTTTGATTGGCTCTAAATGGGGCAGTTCCGCCAACGCAGGGAAGCGCTGTTCAGCGTTAGGATAGAAGTGCCTGATTAACATATTAGATAGAAGTCGGATGGTAAGGCACGAATCACCGACCGAATGACTGTAAATGTAAGCGGAGGGTAGACGTGTATGAATAACGACGTCACTTTATCGAAGTCGTGAAATACGAGGCTATTCCTCCAAGTTATGACAGCGGAAGCCAGGGAGCCATGCGACAAACAATAGCACGCGACGAAGAGTGCGGAACTGGACGGGACCAGCCAGATGTAGAGGAAGTTGAGAATGTTGGCATAATAGCACAAGTCGAACAGAAAGTAATGCCATGCGCGTCTCTTGTATATAAACACGCGCATGGGGAGGTAATATGCCGCCTGCAGAGTATATGCAATGTGGATCCATCTATAGCACGCGATGATTCAGCCACGGCACATCTTGAGATAAAAAAACCACAAACTCAGGAGCCATGCCAAACAACAGTGCCGTGAAAAGAATAGACATCACGCCGCAGAAGAACGTCAGCTTTTCACGCGTTCGAACAACATTTGCCGTATGCCATGCATCTGCCAATGAAATCAATCGCGACGACACCTGTCGACTAACTGAATGATTGTCCGGACACTAGACTGCGTGTACTAACCTTCACCTTGAACTTCTGCATCTCCCGTTCGAACTGCTGACTTGTGCTTGCGGAAGATCTCCTCCTGAAAAGATCTTTCTTGAGTTCAGTGAGAGTCTCCTCCGCCCGCGTCTTCAGTCGCTCGCTCTGCTTTGCCAGGCGCCGCTGTAGGAGATCTAGTCGTGAATCGAAATATGTTTCCAGGGTATCTGCAATGACGCATCTCAGCCAGAGTTATCAAAATCCTCGTTTGATTTGCATACCAAGCAGAGTAAATCCGCTTGCCCAGTCGGAAATTTCATCGCGCGCAAATCGTTCGAACGGCACAGAGAAGTAGCCCAGCCCGGGTAGAGGCATGTCAGTCCGGAGTGGCGATGGAGAGGGAGGACGAGAGGATGAAGGAGTACCCATGGTGGTAGACGTAGACTAGTCCACCGTCGTGAATAGCGAGGGTGTCCAAGCAAAGGTTCAAGAGGAGGTCCTCCAAATCGCGTCTAAGGCCTGCGTCCACAGTGATGCATAGCGCGTTGCCGCGTGGCTCCCTTTGCGGCAGCAGAAGCATCACGTGACTCAATCCCCCTTCAAACTCCGCCGGGAACGCTTATGTATATGTATCGGCCGGCCGTAGTTCTCTGAAGCCGCTCCCAACTCTCTACACCATGTTCCGCTCATCCCTCGTCAAAACTGTCCTCAATACTACCCCTCGCGCCAGTCGCCTTGCTGTGCGCCCGGTCATTGCTCGCAATTATCACGAGAAAGTGATCTCGCATTACGAGCAGCCGCGAAATGTGCGTCATATTGTGGTCTCGGCGGTTCTGGGCATTATCTGATAACTCACCGGATTCTAGGTGGGCTCACTCCCCAAGAACGATGCTGATGTTGGCACAGGCCTTGTTGGTGCACCTGCGTGAGTATGCCGATTATTATTTGCTGCTGAGGTGAGTTCGCTAATAGGTGGGGACTCCCAGTTGTGGAGATGTCATGAAGCTCCAGATTCGTGTGGACGAGAATGGTGTTATCTCAGACGTCAAGTTTAAGACGTTTGGGTGTGGAAGTGCCATTGCGTCTAGTTCGTACATGACTGAGCGAGTGAAGGGTTTGTCGTTGGAGGAAGCGGAAAAGATTAAGAACACGGAGATCGCAAAAGAATTGTGCCTTCCCCCGGTAAAACTGCACTGTTCAAGTAAGACTGATATATCATTCTCATCGCAATATTCTGACTGATTGTGTTGACTAGTGCTCGCTGAGGACGCTATCCGCTCTGCAATTCGGGACTACAGGACGAAGCGCTCCAGCGCCTCCAACCCTAAGGCAGGGTTTATCGACGTCTCACAAAGCGCAGCGACAGGGGAGACTGTAGCGACGGCTCATGCCCCGTCGGCATGAAACGTTACATGTTCTCGCCTTTTCTTCTGCTATTCCCTCCTGTCCTTACCGTTGTGTATGATGTATGATTAGTGGTGCTCAGCTCGCATAACGTTACTGTGATATGATAGTTTCTGACTATGGCAAAACATGGATGAATGCAAAAGTCGTTCATGTATGTACGCGTACCACGACGAACTGCGAGTGCGAACTCATGCTCCTTTCTGACCAACGAATGAAAAAGTGCCCCCGGCAAACCAGCGCTCATTCGCCTCCTTCACACGCTGTGCTGCAGCAGCACGGTTTGTCAACTCAAACCCTGAAGCAACCATAGGTCAGCTCTATATTCTGTCACATTGAGACTTCTGATACATACCTTGAACGGGGGTGACAGTCAACGAAGTGGACGTTCCAGAACTTTGGGTGCCTCCGCTCTGAGCGGCTCGTGTCAGTGCAGCCGTGCGGAGCTTGTTCGCCTTGGACAGTTTCGCTATAACAGGGGCGGATGATCCATTCAGTATCCACATGTATCAATCACGAATCACATACCTCTACTCTTCGCCTCACCGACACCAGCCCTGACCTTGCCAGATCCAATCATACCGAGTCCTTTAGATTGGTCGAAGGCACCGATCTCCTCTTCTGGCTCGCCGAACACCATGCGATTTTGCAACTTGCGGAGCTCCGTTTGGGCATACGCTTCCTTGGCCTTCCTCGCCCTATAACAACGTTCTGGTTAGCGAGGTAAAGTGGGAACAACTCGGGGTGTGGGCATCTGACCGTTTACCTCCGCGCCTCTTCTTCGGGCCGTCATTCGGAATAGGCAACGCTTTCACAATCTTGCTCGGAGGTGGTGCGGCTAAACGATCGATATGCTTCTCAATCTTATCGCGAAGCTCCTCTCCGTAAGAACCTACGATCGCGAAGCGTCAATCCATGCAATGACAGTTGCTGTGTAATACTTACCGTCTCGCCGATGTCTCTCTAAATCCATTCTTGCCGCTAGGCAGCACTTTGCACCAACCGTACGCTGGACTTTCAGACGATATTCAGGGGGTGTCTGTTGAACGATTTCAGACTGGAATATGAAGCCAGTATGGCGACGCTGAGTGGCGCTTGAGAAGCCGGCTGCGATCTTGCGTTGCGCTCCAAGGAGCTGAACGAGACCATTGTCAGAGTAAAGTGTCGAGCTAAGCATGATGTACTTACGTAGACATTACAAGCGGGCATTTTCGCAAGACCATTCAAGCCGCCAGCAACTCCGAGCAGTTTCGCAGCTGTGGTGGTACCGACGATAGCGGATAGATTCGGAGCGAGTATATTCATTCGTGAGCTAACGTACATGAAGATCTAGGTTTAGGGGTGAATATCAACAGAAAGATACCTAAAATTGGAGCTTCACCTTTTTCCGTGCCTCTTCTAGACGATCAGCAAGGTCGCACGCACGCTGGACAGTTGCCCATTCTGCGTCTGACAGTGTTTGCCCAGAAGTTGTAGTTGCTGTGACAAGAACACTCATGATAATAGCCGGAGGTAAAATGCCAGCCAAATCGACTTTCGTCGGATCCTAAATGTAGACGATCAGGCAAGCGGTTGGTGCAACACATGCAAAAGGTATACCTCTGAATTGCCGAGGGCACGCACGGAGCGGATGTACATAGCTGGATCTCCGACAAGTTGCTCGAGTTCAGGAAACTTGGGCGCATAATGATCTCGTATGAACTATGAGCGGCTGATGTCATGGGTTTTGAATTGCGTCAGAAGCAATATTAGGCACACCTTGTGAACAACTAGAATTTCATTGTCCACATCCACGGAAAGATTGTTGGCTTGTACAATCAAGTTGTATTCCGGATTGGAATGCGCAGGTAACAACATTTGCTCCGGAGTACTGGGATTGGCTTGATACTTTTCGATTTCCTGAGTGTGCCTACATCGTCAGAAATCATATGGAGGAATAGTCTTGGGACGCACCTTAAGAATATCACCCATTCGTTTGCTACCATCAAGCTTAGCCACCTTCCGCACGTCTTCGATACCGCCCAACTCCATGCGCTGCACCTCTTCGACATCCAACTCTTCGGCAGGCTTCACGCCACCTTCGAGGACCAGACCACCTACTGCCTTTTCATCATCACCATCCTCGTTCACCCCCTCTGCGTCAGACATTTCGTCGTCCGAAGATGCCTTACGCTTGACGCCATTTGAAGGGCCCGGTGTAATTGCGTTCTGGTCGCCTTCGTTTGTCTGTTCCTGCTCCGGTCCCTCTTCGCCCTCAGAAAGGCCATCGAGATCAGCTAAAAGTTCGTCTGCGAGTGCACTCATGACAAGAGACACAAGACGAGGGTGGTGGGACTCTCAGGCTGGGAGAGCTCTCACGGGCGCTTGCCGGGCGACCTCGTGCCACAGGCAAAATGCGGGGAACTCGATCAACTCCGAGTTGGTGAACTTCCGATTCAGTGGTCCGAGATTCTGAGTCGACCCCAAGTTATTGTTTGAACACTCGGTAAAGTCCACTGCTCGTTTTCATTCTGGATTATCGTCTCTTCGCTAGCTTTTCCGCCCAGTTAGCTCTGTCTTGCTTTGTATCTCAATGAGATCATTAAGCTATGGCACAAGAGTGCTCCGCTCATGTCGCTCAGGACTCGATCGCAGGACGTACTATCATTCAGTCCTTTCGTCGGTTATTTCGACATCATCACCAGAATTCAATGAGAAGGAAAAGGCAATGGACGACGTTGTAGCAGATATCGACGCCAAGCTGGCTGCTGTTCGGCTAGGCGGTGGAGAGAAGGCAATCCAGCGCATGAGGAAGGCGGGGAAGAAATTACCGAGAGAGAGGTGAGCGATATTTATTGAAGGATTGATGACTAAAGGAAGATGCCTATGTAGTCTTTACTCAGACTATCGCTGCTGCTCGACCCACATACGCCCTTCCTTGAGCTGTCGCCGCTAGCTGCTCACGAGGTGTATCCAGAATCAGTTCCATCTGCTGGAATTATTACTGGTATTGGTCGGATTTCAGGTCGAGAATGCGTGATAGTAGTCAATGATGCAACAGTCAAAGGTGGCTCATACTATCCGCTAACAGTAAGTTGATGTGCGGTAAACGAGGGTCACGCAAAATTCATCATGATGTAGGTTAAGAAGCACCTGCGTGCCCAAGAAATCGCAAGAGAGCATGGGCTACCTTGTGTCTATGTTGGTATGTCACACCTAGGGCTTAGGTAAATCTGATATGGACGTGCTTTTGGCATAGTTGAATCTGGAGGGGCCGCTTTGCCGCATCAGGCTAATGTACGGTACTTGGTTAGTCATTAAAGTCTCACCCACTTATAATTTTCTTCAAGGTATTCCCCGACAAAGAGCACTTTGGTCGCATTTTCTACAACATGGCTCAGATGTCAGCCATAGGTATCCCACAGGTAGCTATAGTCCACGGGATTTCCGTCGCCGGTAAAGCAACTTTTTTCTCGTGCCGTAGACCTCATCCATAAATCCTTTGTCCAGGTGGAGCGTATGTCCCCGCTATGGCTGATGAGAATATCATTGTTCGGGAACAAGGTCGCATTTTTCTGGCTGGCCCACCTCTAGTAAAGGCAGCCACGGGTGAGGAAGTCGATGAAGAAACGCTCGGCGGTGGGCTAATGCACTCCTCCGAGAGTGGAGTGACGGATCACCTTGCGCAAGACGATGAACATGCTCTTGCCATCGCCCGTGGGATCATTAGCGACCTTGGCAAAGCTGGAAGTCTGGAAGTCCCGGTGAGTTGGCCTTGCTCCTGGGTAACACAGTCGCCGCGGTGAACTTTTGGTTTCACAGCCTCCAGCCCTCCCAGAGGAACCGTTATACCCTGCATCCGAGCTGCATGGAATTGTCGGCACTGACCTGAGGCAGGCATTTGATATGAGGGATGTGATTGCGCGCATAGTTGATGGTAGTCGATTCCGGGAGTTCAAGAAAGAATACGGGCCTACTATGGTTACGGTTCGTATCGAGCTACAAATCTACGTGTCTACTCATCTCTCGCGGTTGCTAGGGCTTCGCGCATATTCATGGCTATCCTGTCGGGATAGTAGCGAACAACGGAATATTATTCTCGCAATCAGCGCTCAAAGCAACACATTTCATGCAGCTGTGCTCACAACGCCAAGTCCCATTGCTATTCCTCGTGAATGTCACGGGATACATGGTTGGCTCGAAAGCTGAGCGCGGCGGCATTGCCAAGGACGGCGCGAAGATGGTTCGAGCTGTTGCGTGTGCCGACGTCCCTAAACTGACAGTCATCGTGGGAGGAAGTTATGGCGCTGGAAATTATGGTAAGGTGTACTGTGATGTACCTGGGCTTTGCTGATCCCTTCGACAGGCATGTGTGGTCGGGCTGTGAGTTAAGCGAATCTCATGATGTTGGACACTTCGCTCAATGGGTATCTCGCAGTATTCTCCGCGTTTCTTGTGGATGTGGCCTGTGAGTTCATCTGGACTAATGATATTTCGTGCGATCATGAGTCTCTCTACAGAACGCGAAGGTATCCGTGATGGGCCCTGGTCAACTCTCGCAAGTCATGGCCACAGTCTCTAAGTATGTCTTCTGCTTGCGATCCAGTGAATAGTCCAATATCATATCAACCTCATTAGGGATCCAACTAAACACGCAACACTTAAGTCGGAGATTGAGGAACAATCCACTGCACTGTATGCGACAGCACGTCTATGGGACGACGGCATCATCAAGCCCACAGATACACGCGACACTGTAGGTTTAGCTCTGGCGCTTGCCGCTAGGAAAATAGGACAAGATACCATTAAGGGTGGGTATTCAACCACATGGGACGGTGCAGGGAACGGCTTTGGTGCCTTCCGAATGTAGCATATTACCATACGCATTACATCCAATGCTATCCTGACACTTTCAACCCAGCAACAGCATGTTGAGTCATTGAATATTATTTGTGTCACAAATACAGGACCATGAATAGCTACGAACGCGGTCTTTTGCGAGCTGGACTGTCAAGTTTGTCAACGTCCATGGCATCAATCTCACGCTTGTTACGATCCGACAAATCAAATGCAGGTGCGGACCATGCATTTATTTTGGAGTCCTCGCCGCCGGTTAGTAGAACGTTGTTCTACAGATAATTCAGAGTGTCATTCTAAGAACAACAAAGCACGAACGAACCCACCTCCTCATCCCAGAGAACAGATCGAACGATTTCAGTGTGCCCAGTCGTCCAAGTGTGCGAAAGCACCCAAGAAGCGTCAACATTTGAAAACGTAGAACGAGTCAAGAGAGCGATATCTCCTCTGCAAAGGGCATCAGCTTATCTAGTAACATAGCACCCGGCAGGTACATACTCGTTTGAGCCGACAAAGAGACTGAGGTCGTTGTCTGCTTCACGAAAAATGTTGGAATGATTATGTGATCCAATGACATAGTCAGTGACCCATGTCGAATCTTCCCTGTGTACCGAGGGTAGACGAATGTCAATGTCCTGGACCAAGTCGAGCTATCCAATTGTCAATTATACCACGTCACGATTTATGGCTGATGTTATTTACCTCGTCAGACCAAATGCTCATAGTTTCCATATCGCTGGACGCCCAAACACTGGAAGACCCGTTCTGCTTAAGGATCCAACCAGCCTGTGCGATACTGCAACCCCAATTGCCTACATGAAGAGCGGCCTCGTCTTCGTCTACTTCCTCTGCGTTGGACGTACACAAAAGCCCGTCGGAAGACGCTGAGAGGAGCACACTGTTACTTTGTCGTGAAAATTTCACCACCGTGATGTCGTCGGAGTGCGTAGACGAATGTGTGCGCAAGGGCGCTGCCGGGTTGCGAGGATCCCTGATAGAAACGCTAAGAATGACGCTGTACGTCGCATAGGACGAGAAAATTTACCAGTAGAGCAATGAAGCATCTTCTCCCTGTAGCTCTGTGCCCGCCGCGATCGTCGTGCCACTGGCGGAGACATCACACGAGAGAAGAGCCTGAGGCTTGCCTGCAGTAAGGGCAATCACTGTCCACAATCACGCATCACAAGCTCGCTTTAAGTTCAGTCACAAACCCGAAGCACGGCGTCGATCTCGCACTGACTTATCGGGGCCGCTGAGGGAGAACGGGCATCCCATGCTTTAACCACACCGTCCTTTCCGCAGGAGACGAGAACAGGAGACGAAGACCCAGCAAGACTGGGTGCATGCTTCAGGGCTGTGATAGAAGAATCATGCCCAGCGAGGGTTTGCACATCGTCCAAGCGAGATTTGTCGAAAAGATGGATCGCATTATCCGGAGAGGAAGCAGAGACGGCATAGTGGGATGGCAAGGGCACTATCGAGAGAACGTATGCCCCAGATTGCAGCACCTTGGATTGAATTGGGGCAGAAATGCTCCGAAGAGCGGGAGATTGGAGAAGAGACATTGTGCGTGATGTTTCCGGAGAGTTTCCCGCTGTGGTATACTTAGGAGGAGGCATGCGCGTCTGGCTGGCAGGTCGAGGCGCTGGGATACGGATTGGCGCTCGTCGTCGGCTGTTGTCCCCTTGTTTCGCTCTTCGCCCGCCTCCTCCTCTTCCTCCTCCTCCAGCTTCAAGCCTCGTCGCCGTCGTTGCCTGCAACCTCCGCGCTCGTGCTCTCTCGGTTTCTGCGTTTTCGCACCCACGCTCCTTCTAACCCACACTCCTTACTCAAACAGGCTCTATTGCCACCGGCGCATTCGGGCTCGAGCTCTGTTACAGTACTACTGCAATACGCATAGCACCTTTTGCTCTTTTCGAATTTTTTCCCCAACCGAGTCACCATGCGTCGTTCTGGTGGTTAGTACGCTTGAAATATATTCGTCTTTGTCTCAAGACTGACGTATGTGTGTCAGCTCCGCGTATTCACCGCTTACCGCAGCGTTTGGATTATACTTTGATTCCTGCTCCCCTTGGTGAGCGTGTTCTTGTGCAGTAACTGGATATGCATACTGATACCCCATTTCTGTGACGCCTTAAGACTTAGCACTTCCTCTGGTGGATGAAAAAGCAGTTCTTCCTGCTATCATCGTCACTCCATCATCTCCATCTCATGATGGTGACTTTGCAATTGCTTTTCTAATGCCACCTCCTAAGCCCACGTTTCTGCAACGCGTAACTAAGCTGCTTCCGGCCCTGCCCCGTCCTCCAGCCCAGATCCAGCTCCCGATGACTCCCAAACCTGAGTCTCAACGGCTTTGGTCATACACAACCCGCGCACGCGCCACCGTCCTTCTCATCCTCCTCCTATTCATCATGGCTTGTCACGTTGTAATGCATCAGCTTGCCTCTAGCCGGCCTCATTTGGAGTTCGGCGTGCGTCCTGACAGTGAATATCTTGGCTTCGGCACACACGATCCAGTGGATTCTTCCAGTATTACGGTTGATGCCCACGTTCCAAAGGACCTGGATCCACCAGCTGTTGGGGGATGGTTTGACCTTAATGCTCTTTGGGCTCCCGTATCTGCCGCCGAATCAAAACGAGCCCATTTTATTGTCTGGGAGACAGACCCGAGGGCGGCGTGACGTTCGTCAAGAAGGTCCACAACTCCAATCCTCGGAATCCTTCTGTTTTCCCCCATCGTACGTCACGACACGTAATGCCATGTTGCTGGAATTTGTTGCTTCGTTGCCCGTATGGGACACGGTCTTTAGGTTGTGGACTCATTCGGGCTTTTCTTCTGCTGTATTTATCTTCAAATGTCGTTGACATTAATGGTGATTTCGACTCTGTCGAAAATTTGCTGATTGGTCTACACAATCCACTTTGTTTACTTTCGAGTGGTGCATTTTCTTATTCATATGTATATAGTTAATTATCTGTGCGTCCAGCGGCAATATTCTTCTTCGTGTAAACTGATTTGATCACAGAGGGTGAGTATTTAACTTCAAATGATCTCATCATGCTACGAGAAAATCTGGCTCCAAGCGTGCCATGTGTGCGCGGCTACTAAATCACCAAGTATCCCTCTTCCAGTCTGCTGTGGGAATATCAGCTCGAACAAATGATCGGTCTTGTACTCGGTACTGTAGTTGTCGACTACCGCTCCGATTGGCAGAGATGAAACTTACGCAAGATACTTTGCAGGCACTGGCGCCTGGAATTGCACTGCTGACCCTTCCGGCTGCCAGATTCATCGGCTATTAGCAGGTGAGTCGCCATAACGTATTTTGTCAAGGGAGGATGACCCGCGTCAGGTTCAATGGTACGCCTCGTGACCATTCCTTGCTACCTGATTAATGGTCTAATCAAATCGAAGCAGGTTGCCGAGCTTAGTCTACATCCTACCTCTCCGTCGAAAACTAACACAAATACATGGCTACCGCCTAAATTCTGCTTTATTTGCACCACCGTATGTCCGCGCAGCTAAAATCCACAGTCGGTTACACGAGCGCGATTCGCCGCTCCAAATTGTAGGCGCATGATGATCCCTGGTGATTTTCTACATTGCTTTGCGGGGTAATACGCGGGGAATCGCCTAGGTGAATTCTCGGAGGTTTCGTTTTGGTCATCTACTCCTCTCTGGTCTTGTGTGCGGTGGTCCGTCCCTCCGATAACCTCTGGCCAACTGATGACGAGCCAGGCCTTCGTGCCATGTTATTAAAGAACGCCCTCGTTCGAATATGCCGGTGGCCTTCAGGGACTCCTCGCGACGTTCACTTCGTTTGGGGATCCGCACTACCTCGATCTCAAACGCTACAACGCCCGTATCAGCATGTCGCAAGACAAATTAGACGATGTTAAACATGTCGATCACTCTTCCTTAGAGAACGTCGAGGAATTCACGAAAGATGTGCCGCCTCGTTCTGAGCTGGCAACAGTGCTAGCTAAGGAGAAGCCAGGTGCGTTACCAGAGTTTCTGCAGGCTACTAATCGACATTCATGCTCCCAAAATTCAGATCCGTGGTCTCCTAGTATGATACGGCTTTATTTAGTTGTGTTCGTCGCCTACCTCTGTTCGGCCACGAATGGTTTCGATTCCAACACATTCGGAGGCGCGTCTGCGATGTCTAGCTTTCAAGTCTACTTCTCCGTGGACGGTGGCTCTAAGCAGGGACTTCTCGCAGCATCATATGTGATTGGCAACATGGTACGTCAATGTTCATCATGGAGATCACTATTTATCTCGACACATCTTCCTGCATAGGTAGGGTCCCTTGGAGCTGGCCAGATCTCCGACAAGTGGGGACGTCGATACGGAATGGGAGTAGGATCGTTTATATGTCTCGTCGGCGCGGTGTTCCAGGCGGCAGCACAAAACGTCAATTACCTGATCGCGGGACGTGTAGTTCTGGGATTGGGCGCCGTGATTGCCCAAACCGCCGGTCAGATTGCTCGACTTTCTTCATATGAACCTGGCATTCTGAATCCTGCAATTATAGGACCGGCGTATGTCGTGGAGATGTCTCATCCTGCGTATCGTGGGATTCTTACTGGAGCGTAAGTCCTATCAAAAATTCAAAAATTTTAAATCCTTTCGACTGACTGTTCAAAAGCTACCAAGCGAACTTCTTCCTCGGGACAATCATCTCGACATGGATTGAGTTCGGTCTTTCCTACGTACCTGGGAACCCCGATTACCAATGGAGAGTCCCTATGGGCCTTCAAGCCCTTCCATCCGTACTCGTCTTAATATTCATATGGTTTATCCCAGAATCTCCAAGTACCTCTGCTTCTGTCTCTTGGTTGTATCGGCGATCTGAATTTTTCCTCTGCCAGGATGGTATATCGGCCAGGGCCAAGATGAGAAAGCCCGCGCGATTCTTGCGAGGTATCACAGCAATGGTGATGCCGATAGCGGGATCGTCCGCCTACAAATGAAGGAAATGAAGGAAGTGATAGAGGTTGAGAGCGGAACGGATAAGAGGTACCGGTGTTCCGATTTGTTGTGTGCGGAGACAAGCATTAACGGACCGCTCGTAGATGGTGGGACATCCGTGGTCTCTTGCGCACTAGGTCCGATCGACATCGTTTCTTCCTCGTTACATGCATTGCCTTCTTCGGGCAGTGGGATCTTCCGCCGACAAGCTATTATTTCCCACTTATGGTGCGTCGTACATATCTGTAGTACCTGTGCAGTTAACACCATGCTGAGCGATGATTGGGTGTAGGTTGAGGCTGCCGGCGTCACAAATGAGCATATGGTTTTGATGTTGAACGCCTTGCAGGTGCGTTTGCTCACCCCATTAGGCTTGTAGCTCCGAGTGATTGTCGACATTTTTGACAAGACGCCTATCATGATGATATCCGCCCTCTCTGGGCTGCGTTTCATTGAGCGATGGGGAAGGAGACCGACACTCATGCTAAGTTCCACTGGCATGGCTCTCTCTGTGGTTGTGATTACGGTGAGCTTTCGACTTTACAATTTGTTATTCGTGCTCATATAAGGAATAGATTTGCACGGCATTAACACCGGTAAATCCGAAGGCGGGACCTGTTGGCATCGCGTTCCTCTATATATTCCTTGTCGGTGAGTAATTATCTTGAGGCCAAAGAATTTTCGAGTTTTACTTTTGTCTACAGTGTTTTCGTTTGTCTGGACACCAATGCAGTCGTTGTACCCCGTGGAGGTCTTGTCCTATAACAATCGGCACGTCCGCCAGTAGCTTATGCTAGCATCGGCGGCTCTTGACCTGTCGATCATTTCCAGGGCGAAAGGCTTAGCTGTCATGAATCTATTTGTCAATGCTTGTGGTTTGTTCAACACGTACTTGCCACCTGTTGCTATCGCAAATGTAGGCTGGAGGTGAGTCACTACGCTGCCAAGTTCGAGCGCTCTTGACGTGTGTCCGGAGATTTTACCTTTTCTATGCATGCTGGGACGCCCTTGGCATTGCTGTTATCTACTTTGCGTTTATTGAAACGAAAGGACGGTAGGTCTTGCGCATTGATGTCTCCAGACGTAGAATCTAAACTTGTTTTGATTCATAAAGGAACCTCGAGGAAATCGACTTGATTTTTCAGTCGGAACATCCAGTCAGGGCGTCGCTCGCGAAGTCTTGATTGAGCCGCGTACATGTATCTGTCTCATGGCTTCCGTCGAAGGGTGACGTGCTCCCCTTCTTGGTCGTGGCGTTGCTAGCCGTTGTTGTATTTGTAGTGCTTCGGGCGTCTGTATGTTGTTTGAGTATGATTCTTTGCCCATGGCCTCATATCCAAGCTTTTCATTAACTCCAGTTCACTTCCGGAACCTATCATTCACATCTGACACTGCTGTGAGATAATAACTTTGGCATATGAGCGGCTGGATGGCTGCGGAGTGCTTTCAAGTAGTGCTTTACTTCAGGACATGGCGTTTGTTGTGACAGGCAGACGTCTTGGTTCAATTTGGCGCGTGCGCTAGCTCACTGAGGACAAGCTCAAACATTCACTCCTGACATCGTTCGGTAGCAAAATTCCCAGTTCCTGGGTGTTCAATCTGTCTTGGCGTCCTCTTCCTGGATCATCATGGTTGGTAACAGCCAACTCTGGGCCACATTATATGCAGGCCGCCGGACACGAGGCTTCAGCCTGCTGTAGTTTAAGGTTGACTGGTTGGTTACGGTGCGGTCATGGACAGTCCTCCTTCCTCCATATATCGCAGTTCCTACCAGCAAGAACAGGTGCGACTCTCATGGGCTCGACAGTGCATTTAATATCATAACCATGCAGATGCCGGCGCCAGGTGGACCCTATAGTGTCACCCGACCCTCCGACAAGCGCGATCTGCCATATACAACTTGAATGAGACCACATTGTAAGCGCCGTGCCGCTCCAGCGGGCAGAAGATCTCTGGGCGGGCGCGCTGATCCAGTCTGCGCAGAACAGCCCTGGATAAGACCCGCCATAAAACCCCCACCAGAGTTCCGCTCCCCCTTCTCACCTCTCTGTGGTAACGCCATCCAATTCTCCTTTGCAACGTTTACACCATGTCGTGGCTGTATATCAGTAGACTTGCTATATTCGGTGCGGAGCTCATCCATCTACTCCAACTCATGTCTTGACGTCTGAGTACATCAGCTATCGTTGCATTGTTCTCCTTGATCGTGTTGGGTGTTGCTGGAAATATCTCGTCTACCCTGAGCTCCTCCGATAGTGCGATCCTCACCTATGTCGGCCTGGGGATCGCCACAAGCGTCCTCACTTTGCTCAGTATTCCTGCCATGTGAGATGCGATTGGTATGCACCAGGCACCCGTATGCTGATGATTTCGTGGTCAGGCTGGTGGTGGATCTATTGATGACAGGCTTCTTCACGTCAATGATTCTGGTCGAGCTAGCCTGGTTGTGTGCGTATCTTTTGACCATTGAGTGGAGCCATGTATGATTGACACAAGGACTGCAGCATTTCTATGGATCCTGTGGTTGGCGACTGGTGCCCTGGTTGCCAGTGACATTGCTCCCTACACGTCGTGCAATTTTTTCTACAAGATAGAGGTCAAAATATGCCAGGAGTCTCAAGCGGTGGAAGCGTTTGCTTTCCTCAACTGGATTCTGCGTGAGCAACCAACATGTGATAGTTTTCCGTGGCAATTGACCATACTCGCACGCAGTCCTAGTCTATACAGTCGTGTTGCTTGTCTTCACTATCATATCGGCGCAGCGAGGCGAGAGCATCTGGACATCCTCCGTCAAGAGTTCAATGGGGGGACGTACCGTTGGGACCAGCAGCCGATACCCTATGTCTACCAATACCGGCGACGTGCCGCCCGTTTCTCAGGCTCAAAGGCCTCAAACGGAGGTATGATGGCTTGATAATGGCTTGACCTTGGAGTTAAATACCAGTATTGCTTTGTTGACTCTTGGGGCTCTCAAATTGTGGATTAACTGGGATTGGCCTGGCTCCGGTATGCTCACTATAGTATTTTTAGTCTCTTTCATTGTAATTGCGACCGGCGAATTTTTGGTTTGGACGCTGCTATGATCACTGGGGGAAAACCTAAGCACCTACCCATGATTGATGTCACGGTCGCGAATGCGCGGACAGGCTGTATACACCCGATGTAAGTTCGGAACTCTCAGTTGCGATGCGGCGGCGAATAGATCTGGCAGCGTGATAGTGTCACGAGCGTGTGACGTGACCACACGCGTCAACCGAAGCTTAACAAAAGCGCTACGCGTCTCTAAAAACATCGTCATTCCACATCATTATTCCACATTACTTCAAGTTCTTGGTCCTTTCTCTTAAGCAGACAGCTCCCCAGTGCGGGGTGATCAGAGGTTAAGGTACAGCTCAGCATGGATGCCCTCTTCATATCGTTGGCTTCGCTTGCAGGAGCCTCAGTCGATCAGGTCAAGGTAGCTAAGGACACCTCACGAAGCTGGATCTGCCTTCTCACAATGCGATTTTAGCTTATATCGTGTCTCTTGATCTCTTATCCTTTGGGCAGCATATTCGTCCGAATACCAGTCTCACGGCCGAACCTACGACACCTATTTAGTATTAGCGTAACCTCTTTCTATCTTCTGGGTATTTTGAACATCCCGTTCGCATACTTTCAACTTCTCGGTGACATTCTGGCAACCTACTTTATTGCGGGAAATGTCAAAAGTCCTCGCATGCCTTGGATTGTTTTTGGGTGAGTAATGTGGAACATGCATACGTACTTTGCTGAACTCATACCCTACCCATTCCAGAGTAATAATGGGACACCTTACTTTGAAGTGAGTGGTCATGTGCACAAATGTATATGTAGCTGACGTTTTCCAGTCATATAATTCGAGCGATGAATAACTTGAGCTACGAGACATTTGAGATCACAGGTCCACAGATGGTGCTGACGATGAAGCTGACAACGTTCGCATGGAATGTACTTGATGGACGAAGACCTGCAAAAGTGCGTCCAAGTTCTGAGAGCCTCCAAATTGTACCTAACCGGCCCTACTTCGTCTAGGATCTAGACAAGTGGCAGACAGAAAAACGTGTCACTACGTATCCCTCCTTGATCGGGTTTCTCGGTTATTCGTGAGTGCATCTAAATTTGTTGCGCATAGCAATGCGATATCTTTACACGAGCACATAGACTATACTTCCCTGGATTCCTTGTCGGGCCATCTTTTGAGTACGCAGCCTACGACACCCTGGTTAATGGCAGCCTATTCCAATCTTTGGAACAGGAAACTGAGAACGCGGGCCGATTCCGGAAAACACTAGTCCCAAAGGGACGAAAGCGTGTAGCGTACTCCAAGATGCTTATAGGACTGGCGTTTTTGGGCTCGTATGTAACCTTCGCCGGATCGTTCAATCTAGGCGTGACTATAGAAGACTGGTTCGTTCAAAGGAGCCTATTATATCGGTATGCTGCTTGACTGTTCTAGCTGGTGCGCTCATGGTCAGATCATTTTAGTATTGCTTACCTCCAATTATGTGGGTTCTTTGAGAGGACAAAATATTATGCGATCTGGATTCTTACAGAGGTGCGTATTCAAGTCTTACTCGATTAGATTAAAAGTTCGTACTTCTTGTGTCAGGGTGCATGTATTCTCACTGGTCTTGGATTTACTGGCTTCAATGCGTCTGGAGGATCGCGCTGGGAGGGAGCCGCAAACGTGGACGTGTTGAAAATTGAGTTTCCACCGAACTTCAAGGTCTTGCTGGACTCATGGAACATGAAGACAAACGTATGGCTCAGGGAATGCATTTATAAGCGGGTAACCCCCGCAGGAAAGAAACCAGGCTTCCGTAGCAGCATGCTTACATTTACAACCAGTGCTTTCTGGGTACGGTATCCTTCGCTTATCCACGAACGTCGGTGACACTCTGACTTCGTTGTGCAGCACGGAATAGCAGGAGGATACTATTTGACATTCTTTTTTGCCGGGTTTGTCCAGACAGTTCAGCGTCTTTGTCGACGTCATCTTCGTCCTTTGGTCCTGCCTGCATCATATGTTTCAGACCGACACGCCCCTCAACCCCCGCAGACACCTTTGAAACGCATATATGATGGTCTGGGTATTGTAGCGACGGTGCTGATCCTCAACTATGCCGCCGCGCCCTTCATGCTTCTAACGGTACGAAATTCGTTCATGGCATGGTCTCGTCTTGGGTGGTACGGTCATTGGGCGATTGTGGCCGCACTCGCATTCTTCTACGGTGGAGGAGCAAAGTGGTTAAAGAACACGCAGGCGGCAAGAGCCGAGGGAGCAAAAATATCGGAGGAGAATCTGTCGATTAGTCAGGGAGCTGAAAACGGGACTGTTGCCGACGACCAGGGAAAATCGCTTGTTCTGCCACCGTATGACGATGCGACAACAGGGCTGGAGGATGCGAGGATGGGCCGTCGTGTGACAGACTAGATATATTCGGGATATATGCTACGTGCGCTGTCACGGTAGTGGATGTAATTACATACCCAACACACTTGCTTAATTTTTCCCTCTTCATCCGGGCATGTGTTCTCGCACGATTCGTAGCATGGTTCTGAGGCTGTAAATGCGCATGAGCGCTGCAACTTGAAATTGTTGTGCAACCGACGTTGATCTAAGATCGCCTGAGATCGGTGCGGCCACTGTCCGTTAAGCGCCCATCATGGCCGCCCATGCAGCAACCACATCGACCGCCTCTCGTTCTCAGCGACGTGACGGCGACCTCTTCTCGATAAATCATGTCACGACCAGCTGTGGCCGACAATCTACCGCCCACAGCCAGAGCCATCGCACTGCTCCTGGCCTCTACCCCGACGGTCCAGGACGCGCAGCCAGGAGTCCTTCACCAGTTACTAGAGTTCTCTCATCGTTACACGACTCAAGTCCTCTCGGACGCCCTTGTCTACTCAGAACATGCAGGGAGGTCGGGGAAAGTCGAGATGGAGGACGTCATGCTCGCCGTGCAGGCACGCGTCGGCTGGGAGTTTGGCGGACGGGTGCCAAAAGAGGTGCGTCCTCATCTAAATCACCGCAAGGACAACTCTGCTTATGTCCGCTACGCTTAGTACGTCCTCTCCTTGGCGACTCAAACTAATTCTATTCCACTACCGCCTGTTCCTGAAGTATTCGGTGTCCGGCTTCCACCTGCATCAGACTGTCTTACGGCGGTCGACTTCGACCTCATACCTAACAAGCCTCCCCCCGGCGTGAAACTGTATGACGAGGAGATCGAGGAGATCGAAGAGTCTGACGAGGAGGACGACGAAGACATGGAGCCTGCCGCTATACCTGCCCCTACGCAAAGCCGAGATCAAACAATGAACGACGCCACCGTTCCTCTGCCACCGATTGCGGGCCCTCTACGTACACCATCCGACGTAGACATGACGACACCGGGTGTGGCTGTTCCGGAGGAAGGCAGCGACGCCGAGGACGAAGACGGGCTGTTTGCCGGAGGAGACGAGGAAGAGGAAGAAAGCGGAGACGAGCCCATGGAAGAAATTGCACCTTCAGAGGCAGTGGCAGCAGCGAATGGCGTGAAGCGCAAACTCGTGGAAGAAGACGACTACGACTAAGACTCGACATGTGCGCCGGAGTCCAATTTTGTGACCTGACGTATTATGTAGTATGAACAGTTGCTGGGTGAGATAATTCTATGTAATGACGAATGTGTGTGCAAATAATTGGAATAAGTGACGATGCAAATCCGAACAAATGGAATTATGTGGAAAGTAGAGATGGGTGATTCACAGGAGATGCATCTGCTGTACAACCAGAGCCATGATGATGGCAAGGAGCGTAAGGAAGATGACAAGCCAAAAGCCCCATGCTAGAGTGGCAGCTAATCAGTGTCTTGGTCTTGTGCAACACGGCAATGCCAACCACACTCACATGTAGTCCCGAGCGACGCGGGTACTGTAATGACTCGTACTGTGTTGTCCGCACTTCCAGACACCAGCAGATCCGACATTGTATTGAAGCGGAGCGTTGTTGGTGGGAAGTCGTGTGCCTTCAGGATGGTGAGAAGTGGCTGCGAGGCACGAATGAGTACAAGACTGAAGAATTTGCACTGGCAATGGCTCACAGCTAATGTCTGTGCGTCTAGAACTCCAACGGTGTAGTCCGAAGAGCCGAAAGCCAAAAATTTACCATTAGGGCTGTTGTTACACGTTAAGCCGGGGCTGTAGTTCGAAAAAAAATAATGCATCTTACCTTACGTCAAAGCAAGTCAGTCCCTTGTCACTGACTTTACGAAGACGAGTGACTTCCCATGTTTCTGTATTCCACCTGCATATGAAGGAGCGTCGAGGAGACGACTTTGTTCGCGTGCGTGGAGGGATGGTATTCATCACGGTGTACAACACCTTCTCATCATGAGGATGAAACCTCCAAGATACCATCAATATTGGATGATATACCAGGAGTCGTCACACCTTACCTGGCTGAGCGGAAGCTACTCCCAGCATTAGCACTCGGCAGCGCCGGTCTATCTATCGTTTTCAACAGTTCCAGTTCCGTGGTAGTTGTCCGTTTCTGCTTTCCAGAGCCTTTCTCACTCTCCTTCGCGTCTGCCAGTGAGGGCAAGGCGTATACCAATAAACTGACCGTAGTAGCGATCACAAGCTAAGCAGGGGAAGTAAGAATGGCTGTGCGTTTACACAAACCTGTCCACATACCCGTGTTGAAGAAAACGTAACGTCATACACCTCTCCTTTGGGCAGATGAATAGGAGGTGTAGCTGGAGTAAGAGAAGGATAGTGAAGAAGGGAGATCTAGACGAAATAGTCTAAGATAATATTATTTCGATCACTTGAACAATACTCACATCTCTTGTCCCGGAGACAGCAAGAAAGTTCCCGGAAGGCGAAAAGACAGTAACTTTCTACTTCCTCCTGTGAATAAGGGACATCTAGAGAATGCGTTACATACTTGAAAATCATCTTCGGTATTGTTAAGAACAAGTGTGCCCTGCGACTTCATAAACGAGAGCCTGTGTGCTCTATGGGCATGCGATGTAGCATTGTCCATCAAGAACGACGTACTTGCCATCCGCGACTGCGAAGACTCGACAATTCTGATTACCCCCCTCCTGGAGCTTTTCGGCGGAGCTATTGACGCCACATGCGAGATTCTTCTCCGTGGGATGCGCAGCCATACTCATGGGTGCATCCTCTCCTACCTCAAGCTCGACTTCATGAAGTAGATCCAGACTGTTATCATTCTCAGTCCGATACAGCCGCTAGTGAGTTATATATCAGACTGTTATCTTACGAAGAGTTGCGCAGCATACCAGTTTATTCTTGATGCCTGTTTTCGACTGACCACCTCCGCCACCGATTACCAGTTCATTTGGTGATAGGAAGGCACATGAATATACAGGAAATGCAGGGAAGGAATGAGGTGTGTGCTTCACCCTCATAGTGCCCTGAAGTGCAGTCAATGGATTCTAAAGCGGGAATGGGCAATGCAAGGAGGACAAAGGACGAGGACGCGGCGGACGCGAGCTCGGGGTCGCGAGGACGGTGACGATCGCGAACTTGAAAGTGACGGAGATGAGGGGTCACGTGGCAAGAGGAACGCGTCCTCCGAGTCCGAGCGTCGGCTGCCTCCGAATCTTACTGACCTTCGAGGCTTCGACTCCAGCAGCCTAATGCGACACCACTGCCCGTCGGATACCACGATGCTCCCCGCTCTATAACGCACCTCTCACACCGTCTAACCTCCTATTTTGCGATGCTCACGTCCAACTTTCACTCGCCTTTAATCCCCGCCACCACTCATATCTCCCCCGCCGTCGGCCCAGAGCTCCCCGAGCTGCCCAACCTCCCTCGAATAAATAAGGCCACTCTTGCTGGAATAGTGATTGCTATCTCCGGAAATGTTGTCATCTCTTTGGCACTGAACTGCCAAAAACTGGCGCATAAGAAGCTGGAACAGAGACGCCAATTGCGCAGACAAGACCAGTCTACAAATCGTACTATTAGGAACGGGAACGGCCAGCAAGACCCATGCACGAGACGTAGAGGCGCCACACACGAAGTAGAATCCGATGATGCACATGGGCCACCTATTCCCGCCGTCGCACTCGTAGAGACGGAGCCGCTGCTACGTCCGCGAAACGGGGAGACCTCAGATAGTTACGGATCTGAATCAGGTCGAACCCGTCAGAAAAAGAAGAGGTCGCTGTTCTCGACACTATCCGTGTTCCGCGAAGACGACGAGGCTCCGCGTGATGCAGACGCGGCTTACTCTCGGACAACTCATGCCCTGCTGCCTGTGGACATCGTACCACCACGCTCAAGCGATCAGCGAGACAATCGCAGAAGCTCAAATCATGGTCTCCTAAAGGAGAGCGAGAAAGATGCCAGCGAGGGCGATTACTTGCGATCCAAGTTATGGTATGTATGCTTGTCGTGTGTGGTACGCGCGTTCATATTACTATCTAGGTGGCTTGGATTCATCCTCATGAATATTGGCGAGCTAGGCAATTTCATATCTTATGCATTTGCACCTGCCTCCGTAGTCGCACCCCTAGGTACAGTGAGTCCGAGCAATCATATCGTATCATCCGCGTGGACTCATGAACATCTACTACAGTTTGCTCTTATTGCTAATTGCATTTTCGCTCCTCTTATGCTTAAGGAACGCTTCCACAAAGTAAATAGTCGCGAAGTAGTTCTCGATACGAGTTTCTGATTCTAATGGTCCACTAGCGCGATTTCCTCGGAATCCTCATTGCTGTCGTCGGTGCAGTCACTGTGGTCCTATCCTCAAATCCTTCGGATCAGCGATTAGATCCACAAGGGCTCGTTCATGCTGTGACACGACGTCCCTTCATCATTTATACTGGTATTTATATTGCAGGCGCGGTGTTCCTTTCTTACCTTTCGGAACGTACAACCGGTAAAAAGTGGGTGTATGTTGATGTCGGACTCTGCGCGCTGTTTGGTAAGAATCAGATCCTGTTTCTCTATAGCGTGCTAATATAATGCTGAAGGAGGTTTCACTGTTCTATCGACAAAGGCAATATCCACCTTGCTCACACTAGAATGGTTTGACATGTTCACGGAATGGATTACATACCCCACTATTGCTGTATGCAGTACTTCGTCATCGATTACTGATAGCAGCTCATTTTCATATCACTCTTCTCAGATATTGCTTGGTACTGGCATCGGCCAAATTAGATATTTGAACCGCGCTCTTATGCGTTTTGACAGTAAGGTCAGCCGACTTCCTATACCATACTCCCGCGCATTCCGTACTGACTAGCAAGCAGATTGTTGTCCCAACTCAATTTGTAATGTTCAATCTATCCGCTATCGTTGGCTCAGCCATTATGTATGACGACTTCGCCCAAGCTACCTTTCACCAAATCGTGACATTCCTGTACGGTTGCGCTGCAACCTTTGCTGGTGTATTTATGATTGCGTGGGCTTCATCTGTCGATGGTGCACCTGAAGATGGCAGCATAACCGGGGATGGCTTGTCGGATGTTGATGACGCCTCCGTCATTGGATCTCGACCCGGAAGCTTATCCAGAGGAAATCGATTGAAGCTGGTTCTTCCAGACGGTACTGCACCGACTCCAATTCTGCGATCGAAGCGAAGCTTAGTGAGCATGTATGGACTGTCCCCTGCCCAGGTGTGTCATTGTGTTTGTGCACAGTCATCGTTATACACAGGAATGGTCTAATGGTATTGGACTATAGCGTGCTCTCCTGTTGAACCCCTCACCTCGAGATGAAGTCCCTCGGCCTCACTCCCAAGACCCAGAACGCCAACTGCTATCGACGCCTGACTCGTTTAGTCGTCGAAGGACTATCAGCTGGCTCGGCGAGGAAGCTGCATTGCCGCGGAAGATCTTGGGCTCACCCAATGCCGGGACAAGGGAAAACAGCCGGCTACGTGCTCAGAGCACGGCGGCAGATAGAAGTGCAAGTCAGGATCAAACTTAACAGACGGGTCAGGAGTGATCACAGCCATTGTACGATCTATCGCATATATTCCCACTTTCACACTTTGTTCCCCCTGCTTGTGACCGCAATGCGGAGGACATGCCGATCAGCGCTTAAATTATTCATTAGTTAATAACCTTCCTCGAGGAACATCTATCTTGCTCAGATCTGGAATGAGAAAACATGTAAGCAAGACAGATTTGTCGGTGGTAGAGTTGGGGTCTGTGTTCCGGCGCCTTTCTGTCCACCTTCAAGGTTCCACCTCGTGCTTGAGCTTGCATATCAAACCTCCCCTATTCAAAGAAGCCTTCTGCGGCGGCCAGCCAACTGCACAAATCATTCTGTGTGATGTACAACTAGGAATTTCAAAAGTTATCTTCATGAACACATCAAACATGCTGTTTGTCGGCGGATGGCCTCGTGTTTTGGCTACCGGAGCCGGCCTACCCAATTGTCCTCTCCTCGTGCTGGCAAGGCTTCTCCATTTTAAACTTATTTCTGTGGCATCTGCTCAGCACCACAGCAGCATTGCAACAGCAAGTTTTGCTCTAGAATAACCGCTTTGATCCCACTGCTTTGACTAAAATTACTGACAACACTCTGCCCCATGTTCAACGGATTCCACACCCCGATTCCTCCAAGCGACGCCGAGCTTGCAACCCAAACGTTGCATGAAGAGTCTGGCTATCGCTTCCCGTCGTTCTCAGCCAATGATGCGGTCACTCTGGGTCTCTCCCTCAGAAAGCGTTTCCGCGCATCGTCCCGCCACTCAAAAGGAAAGGGGTTGGTTCTCTCTATACAGACCATTGCAGGGCACACGCTGTTTGCGTGTACTGTGGGTGATTTAGGTGGGCTCTCGGGAGCGGGCGACGTAAGCCTCGATAGCTGGGGTTGTTTGGAGGTGAGTGTAAGCGTGGGCAGTGTAGCGTGACATTCTAGTGATGGCCGGGTTGATGACGCGTTGAATGCGCCGGAGGAATTCAGGGTATGATTGCAGTCGTGCGGAGAACGGGACACTCGAGTTACTATGTTGAGAAAGGCATGGGAGCCATGGGCAAAACACCATCCCAAATGGGCATCAAAGGAGAATATCGTATAAGCGGAGGAGGTAAAACATGGTCTCCAACTAATGCGAATCTGCTGATCGACGTCTTTCTTTTATAGCATTTCCTATATGGCTTGAAGTGAGATCTCACAGGCACAGATTTCACGGAAGTAGTGGCTGAATAACCCGCGATAGAATGCCCCGTGCTGTCCCATCGCAGTGGTAGCATGCTATTCAGGCTCAAGTGCCGATGATCATCACGTATGTATGTTCACCTTGAGTCAACTAGTTCCGTATGTTGACAATTTCTGTCATTAGATGGTCGTCAATGTGGTAAGGGACTACCTCAAGAAAATGCTTCGGGACAGCGAAGTGCCCCCTCCATCGGATTCCATGCCGATGCGCGTACCCCCATTAAGCGGACGAGAAAGTTCGGTAAGAGTATGGCTTCTGTTTGCGTCAGAGATGACATTTATCACCAAAACTTTCTGAAGGCATGGATCGGCGAGCCTGCATCAAGCGGGCTGCACATTCGTAGCAGTTCAGAATATCGAGACGATCATGAGTTGTAAGTGCGCTGAATGTATTAAGGAGAGGTGGTGTAAACTTCCAAGGTTCCAAGCTCCGATGAAACACTGCAGAACATGAGCACAGATCACTCTAGCGACTCATTCTCTTCCTCCGATGTACTTCTCGGCGACTTCAACACTCTGATAGATTCTACAAGTCGGATAGCGTTGTAGTCATATATGCTTTGTAAAAAGTCTTTAAGTACCCACCATGGCGCAGAAATATCTGTCGTTGGCCCTGAGGGGTATCTGGGTCTGCATTTGGGTCGGGTTCCCGAAGTTCGAAGTTCGTCTCGACAAATACTTGAGATCCCTTCTTAAGCATGCGGAGGTAATTGTTCACGCCAGGGTTAAAGGACAGCACGGTATGCCATGTGGTTTTGGCCTCATTCCGTGCTGGAAATATGAAGTTGAGGCAAGTCCAAATCAGTGGTTAGGGGTACCTACAGCCAGACGCGTTGGGGGGCGGTGGTGGGTAGTTTGTCGTCGCTACGGTGTATCTAGCAATTGCATTATTCTGAGCAACGGTCTGGACGTGAACGACAATCAGAACATACTGAACATATTCCTTCTGACTTTTTGTAAAACGCAGCTCAGGATCTTTTCCCAGGCGCCCAATGAGAATTAATTTCGCAAGGTCTGCATTGCGCGAAGGAGTGGTCGAGAATGCCTGTGAATCAAACTAAGCCGCGTACTATTTGCCATCAAGAAACGACAGTACGCGAATAAAGCCCCTGGATGCGCCAATACGATGGTTGAGAGACAACATGAATGCAGCGCAGACAAAGACCAGTACCAATACCCGTAAGTTATCCCTATTGACTAGGAGCTTGTCCAAAACCCGTCGACTCGCCAGCGCGAAATGCTGAGTGCTCACGTGGTTGACGTGTTGGCGCCGGTAATCATAATGTAGATGACTTAAACGCTTAGTCGGTTAGATCATACCGCAGAATACCAACCTTGTAGTCCACTAGCCACAGAATTCTGTTGTAAAGGATTTACTATGTCTCGACACAGATTTGTACGGAATATTAATGTCCATGGTACGTGATCGACTCTATGACTCGATGTACAACGACCTGCATGCTGAAGTGCGTTGGACTCTCAGAAGAGCTTGAAGAAGATGTATTGTCGGATGGAGGTGATGATGAACTTTCTCCTGAGGAGCATGGTGCGAAAGTTGTGATGGGAGTCATTGATTTCACTAACAACAGACAGAGCATATGATGAATTGCCTTGAGCAAATCAGGGCCACAATAGGCACTGCAGAGCAATCAGGCATATCCGATACAGAAATACAAGACACTCTATACTATTATCAATATAACGTAGAGAGAAGCATAAACTGGTTGTACGGTAAGTTTTCCTCAAAATTCGTGCCTATAAGGAGCAGGCCGTGATATATGCTGTAGAAGAACAAGGACGGAAGAATGTGGCGAAAGAACGCAAGGGTGAGTCTGTGGTTGTTTTTCACAATTATTAGTTCTTTTTCCCTGCCTGCTGCATTTCGCGCTCTGCTATCATGCGGTCCCTCGTTCTGGTGTGGAAGTGAGAAGGTGCCGATTATTGTATCCTACGAGCATTCCCTGAGGCGTCGACATTCATTGCTTCCCTATATCCTTCTAGTGGAAAAACCTCTACCTCCACCCCCCTTGGATGAGGAGGATCCAGGCATCGGTTACCAGGCAAATCAGGAATATTTCGAGCCTCCTTCGAGCGGTTCAGGGAGGTCCAACATTCCACTTATAAGGCTAGCTCAGCCGCAGCCAGACGAGGTCTACGAGTATTCGGAATATGCTCCAACGCCATCGTTGCGGACACTGAGCACGATTTCGGAGAAGACTGAGCAAACGGATGATGTCGGGACTGTGACTCCTCGAACCCAACAACAGGAGCTCTCTAGCCTATCACGGACAGCTTCTTTTGCAAGTGCTACTACCGATTATGGCCGCGAAGTAATCGGTAAGTCTATCTACTATGTATTGATACATATTTTGATGTAGGTGGTGTACAGCCCGCCAGGAGGCAGACCCTAACGATGTTGTTCCATCACCCTCATCTTCAGCCCTTCAACGCCTTTCGTATCACGAACCCGCCCCGTCCCTGACGCCGTCGGCGTCCCGTACACCATCTTCTCAGCCATCACTGCGTTCAACCACTGCACCGGTACCACATATAGAGTCCATTCCCGACATCCCGTCTCTGCGGACAAAGAAATCAACCGTGCAGCCCGCTAGCGAGAAGAGATCAAAGTTATCGACTCTGGCGAGTTCAAGGTCTAGTACCCGATCATCTTTGAGTACCAGATCGGATGCTAGTGCTGCTGACACGGTATCGGATGCAACTGTTTACACTTATCCATTCCTCCGGCCCACTTCTGCGTCTATAATGTCATTTGATCGCGACTCCACTACGAGCGCATCGTCGATGTCATCACACGTCCGACGAGCCATACAAACGGCGCTTGAACTGGAGGCTGTAGATCGAGCTGAGAGTGTGGAACAATCTCGCGGTCGCTTGTCCCCGCCGATGGCTTTCCCCAAAAAAACGTCCTCAGTCGAGTCCCCTCAGCCGCTCGGTGCGGTTACTTCCCCCCCGCCCCCACGGTTAGCCGACCTCTCTCAGCAACCTGGGCCAACCAGTCTTTCGCAGGTTACAAAGTCTACCACCACCCAATCAGAGAAATTTCCCACTTCCCCCGAACTACCCAGGTCGACACCTCAACTGCTTAGCCCGACAAATCCTCTTCAGTCTCTCGCTCCCTCTGTTCCTCGTTTACCTTCTGCTAGCCCTCCGCGATCTGTTGCCTCGCCTCATGTCTCTGCTCCCGAGTTGCCGACCATTCCGAATGTCATGCGTATGCCTACGTCGCCACCATCGCAAGGCCGTCAACCCACTAAGCTTGCTATGCTTGCACAAGCGAAAGCTCAACAAGGCCGCTGGATCCCAAAGCCGAAAAAGACCGTTGACTCTGCTTCAGAACCCGCCCTCATATTACACAAGTCCCATACTCAGTATTTTGACCCGATTGCCAATGGACCTACTGCTACGACGGCGATCACCACGTCGTATCAGAGCCTCAGTAGTCTTCTCACACCTGCTCAATCCGCACTTCCACCATCTATTGTGCCTCCAGTGCGTAACACAACTGAGCAATCGATCAAGCCTACTCGCACCGGAAACGAGTCAAAGCAGTCTAAACTGGCAATGAAGAGCAAAACTGCTCTAAAGAAGCCTGAATTAGACACCAGTGCGAATGAGGCTCAGCCCGTGGTGCAACATCCGATGTTTGTGCCCCAGGGCTCTCGTACTCGTGCGTCGCCATCGGCCTTCGCTTCCCTTCTCACCGATGACGCGCCTCTGATTACGCTCGAAGAGAAAGGACATAGTTCAAAAGGGAAAGGAGTGGAAAGGAGTGGAGTTCATGTTGAGGACCTTCAATTGGCAACCACATCAGAGGGAAGTAAACCTCGTCGCCATTCTCATAGGAAACGAGATAGCGTTCTTCCGTCGGCTCCCGAGCTATCACCTACCAGCGGTTTTGCTTTCGACGTACCTAGTCCGGATGATGTCGTGTTCAATGCTCGTCGAGGAACATCGCTAGCGCCACGCTCCCTGACTGCATCTTCATCTGCTCCGCGTTTAAACCCTCCTGCAATTTCTTCTCATGCTACCCATGCTGTTGATGCTGTTGTTCTCTGACATGTACTGACCGTGTGCTAACTATCCTTATTGTATATGAATAAATATAGCTGCCAAAGAACGCGAAAAGGCTGCGAAGCTGGCGCAGAGTAAGCAAGGTTCGCCGGCAAAAGCAGGTTCGTCCGCTGGTAAAAAGGTAGCCAAGGAGACACCAGCCGCACCCAAGAAGGCTATAGGCGCCTCTGATGCCAGCCAGCTGGATCTATCCGCCCTGAATATCCGTCCGAAGGAAGAGCCGGTCCAAGAAGAGCCGCTTAAAGCAGCCATCGCGTTGGAAAAAGTCCTTGACGAAGTGAGAACGGTCTTACAGGCCCAGGAGAAAAATGAAAAACGAGCTTTAAGCCTGGTCGTCATTGGTGGGGTACATCTTGCAGTGACATTGTGACATTGCCTTATTCTTTATAGGCCATGTCGATGCTGGAAAGTCCACTCTTATGGGTAGATTGTTATATGAATTAGGACGGATAAATGAGAAGAAGCGTCTCGCAAATGAACGTGGCAGTAGCAAGGTAGGAAAGAGCAGCTTTAGCTGGGCCTGGGAGCTGGACGGAACAGCCGAAGAGCGGGAAAGGTCAATCGTTCCACTCTCATCAATTCAAGAACATTCACCTTCTTTTGGTTTGCTATCAGGGGTATTACCATGGACATCGCGCTCCAGTATTTGTCGACTCCGCATCGCGAGATTACAATTTTGGACGCCCCTGGCCATAAAGACTTCATACCCAACATGATATCCGGAGCTTCTCAGGCCGATAGCGCATTGCTTGTAGTCGATGCCGCCACAGGAGAGTTCGAAGCCGGATTCGAAAAAGGTGGTCAAACTCGAGAGCATCTCCTGCTTGTCAGAAGCCTAGGCGTTAGCCAGGTTGTTGTTGCCGTTAACAAATTGGACCAGGTGCTGCCGACTGCATGGATCCCGTGGCGAATAACCTGATCATTATAATAGGTACAATGGGAGAAATCCAGGTACGACGAGATATGCGACACTCTTAAACCATTCCTGCTTCAGTCCGGGTTCCATTCGTCTAAAACCAAGTTCGTTCCCGTCGGAGCGATGGCGGGAGTTAACCTCACGGCACGGGTGGGAACAGATTCTGAATTTCTCAATAAATGGTATACTGGCCCGACTTTAGTTGAGCTTCTGGGTGAGTATTGTAACAGCAGGACTGGTCCATATTTGACATTCCGTTCCAGACCGCCTGGATCCACCATCGCGTAACATCAGTGCTCCGTTGCGATTTCCCATTTCCAACGTCTTCAGGGAAGCTGGTTCCGGTATTGGTGTCTCTGGACGCGTCTGTGGCGGCGTCGCTCAAGTCGGCGAACTTTTGCGCATTCTCCCAGGAGATGGAACAACCTATATCAAATGTACGTTCAGAGGTGATCGAGTTATACATGCACTGACGATACGAACAAGCTATCTCAAATGACGACCAAAGCCTCCCATGGGTAGTGGACGGCTCCAACGTAATACTTTACCTAACATCTGTGGATCCTGTCCACCTCAGCATTGGTAGCGTGCTATGTCGGCCTAGTGATCTCATTTCGCTGGCCACGGTGTTCACGGCGAGAGTCATAATTTTCGACATTGATATCCCTATCACCGCCGGTGCTTCCGTACGTATCTGGAGTTGTGCTCTGTTCAATGAATATTCACATTTTACGACCGCAAGATTGAGCTATATCACTACTCTCGCGACGTTCCCGCATCGATCTCAAAGCTGATCTCGATCACGGATCGAGCAACTGGAAAAGTTATCCGGAAGAGCCCTCGGTTGGTTGGTGTGCTATGATATAGAATCAACACTGATCTTGAGTCGTATAGTGTTCTGACCAAAAATGCTTCTGCGGAAATACAGATCACACTTCGCAGCGGCTCAATGTCTGGCCCGTCAGCAAAGGCTTATCCAATTCCCATCGAACCATTTGCTATGAACAAGGACATGGGTAGAGTTCTCATCCGACGCGGCGGAGAAACGATAGGAGCCGGTCAGTACACTTTCGTTGACCCCGCCAGGCATGCCTTCTGACAGTCCACATAGGTATTGTTCTAGATGTCTTGGAGTGAGCGGCCAGTAGAAAGATTCTGTTGCGCGAACTCGATCAAAATTTTAAAGATGTAATATTTAGGCCGACATATACGGCTTGTCTGGGTGCCTTATGGTGTATAGGAAACTGTTCGTAACTAAATGAGAGTGCGCCGTACATGGGCCCTTCGCTTCATCTAGCTGAGAGCCGAGTGAGATTACCATATTTGGCAAGCCACAGCGATGTCGCTGACAGAGCCAAGTCAGACTGGGACTCTTTCGGCCGTGCCATGTCCTTGCTCCCAGACATAATTAACACTCGCCTCATCGCCAGTTGCATTCGCAACTCTGCCTCGCGTTGACCCGTGGCCCCGGAATGTCTCGAAGAGCAACCACCTCCACCGACTCTGACCGTGCCTTCGAGGCCTTGTACCATCCAGTTCCTCAGGCGCCACTGGCATCGGCTCCTGCTAGACCATCGCTTGAGACCACCTTGGATGGCGATGATGATGGGATTTCCGGTGGGCTTGATGGCAGTGCGATCTCAGTGGAAGCCGACGGGCGCATCCACTGGATACACTTCATACTTGGCTGCGCCGTGCTCCTGCCTTGGAACGGTGAGTGTATCGGTGCGTTCGCAAGGACTGAGGTGGCAACCTAACATTTTCACAGTCATGATCACTGCAACACCGTATTTTTTATCTCGTCTGGAGGGATCCTCTTTGAAGAGTTCGTTCAGCTCGTACCTGTCAACCACCTTCATGGTTTCCAACTTCAGTTTCTTGGCCCACGCGACGGCTACGGCTCAGCAGGTGAGCTTACTATCGGACATTGGAATAATTGTATATTGAGCGCATTCACTGCAGAGTTCCAACTCTCGTCGTGTTCTCTGGTCTCTCGCTGCACTGGCAATCTTATGCGCCACGCTCACACTTAGCACGTGGATGCACCCATCTCCGGGTCTCTTCTTCGCCTTCGTGCTCCTGAATGGGATGCTGCAAGCCGCCGCAGGTTCATATTTACAAACTGCCGTCGTTGCTGTCGCATCGCTATTCGGCCACAAGGCCATGCAGGCCGTCATGTCTGGCCAAGCCGCGGTCGGTGTAGTGGTCAGTGGGGTACAGGTATTGAGCGCAGCCGCATCCATGCGGAATGCATCTCCTTCCCCAGCGCCCTCTCTTGAAGCTTCAGCCTCGAGAACGCCGGAAGAAGTCTCTGCATCTCTATTCCTTGGATTGTCCACTATCTTCTTGATCATCACTCAAGGTGTGCACATGTGGATGATGAGCTTACCTGCATACAAGACACTATCATCATCCAGAGCTATATCTCGTATATCAGAGCCTCATAGCCTCGATGAAACTCAAATTCTGACTTCTGAGACGTCCGTGCACAAGAGTTTGAGCGGGAAAACCCAAATTGTCCGGATGGCCAAGCTCAACCTACCATACAACTTCGCTGTTGCTTATGTGTTTGCAATCACTCTCGTACGTGATCTTTTTAATATTACCTGCATCTTCCTGACGCTCGAAATTAGTCCGTATTCCCTCCGATCACTGTCTCTATTCAATCCACGAACCCTGCTATGCATCCGCTGCTGTTCAGTGCCATCCACTTCCTAATATACAATATCGGCGATTTCTTGGGCCGCTTCCTCTGCTCTATCCCGCGCCTCCTTGTCTGGTCCGCCAATCGACTCGTTGCAATTGCGCTCGCACGCACTCTGTTCATCCCACTGTTCTTAATGTGCAACGTCCAATGGTCGTCGCCCGTAGCGGTTGGCCCCATTATTACATCTGATGCGATGTTCATGCTCATTCTACTACTCTTCTCAACATCAAACGGATATGTGTCGAGCATGTGCATGATGTCTGCACCATCTGTGGCACATAACCCGCGTCTCAAGGGACGCACACAAGATGTGGATATTGCTGCCACAGTAGCGAGCTTCTGCTTAGTGGGTGGGTTGACCGTAGGGAGTATAGCGAGTTTCGCCGTTAGAGCCATGGTATGTGATTGTAATCCATTTAGAGATTAATACTTTTCTTCATGTCGGACTTGCATGGATCGAAGCTTTTATATCAAGCTCAATATTGAGACACGCTCAGAGTCACAACCTGGTCCGAGATAAATTCGAAATGAGTAGACACATGAAAACGTCGAGCGTGCGATAAGTTACTCAGAGAAAAGATATCACTTATCGGAACAAGTCGCAAAGTGAGAGCTTCTAGAGACCGAATCTGAAGTATGGGCAGGTCATGCAAAGGGTGGTGCACTTACCCGTCCCCTCTCTGGTGAGAGTAATTGTTCGTGCCGCTCGGATGCGATGGTCAAGTGATGCGGTCAGAAGCATTTTCGGAGCAGCACTAGCAACCCGCCCAGGTCACCAGAAAGGGTCACAAGCGTGATACTGTACCATTGTTCAGGAAAAGATTTGTGATATATCTTCCGGCGCAGGCTAGCGCTACTAGTGTACAACAGATCTATACAATTATTCACCCGTGGGCATCTGGTGTTGCATTGTTATTGATCATAATTTTTTGTGAAGGAGGTGACGACCACTTACATGAGAAAATGCATATATGAGCCACCTTCTACAAATCTGATTATTCAAGAACTGGGTGGCAGAGACACTTTAGGTGCACCAGGTAATCGTGGTGCGAGTTCTTTCGCCTGTGCAGCTTGCCTGCGTTTGCGATGCTCCGCCAGACGCAGTGCAAACATGTCGCGGTGAAGCGTGTACCGCTGGTGCGACGGCTTAGTTGCGGTTGTAGGCGTAGCAGAGCCCGAGGGTGGTGGGCTGGGCACCTTCGAACTGGCTGCTTTGGACCCCCCATCTTGATCTATCTTATCCTCTTTCTCCTTTGCATCGTCTGCTTTCTCTTTTTCCTTCTCTTTCTTCTCCTGCCTCTTCTTCTGACGCGCCTCCCATTCCTGCTTTACCGCAGCGATCTCGTCTGGTGTGAGACCCATCTTCGCACCGCCCGCTCCTACGCCATCATTTGTCTCGCCCACCAGGCTGGCAAAACCTGGATCCGAAAGATGGCCATCGCAAACATAGATAAAGTCCACAGTTTGTGCTGTGGCGAGCACGGTAGTTGTCGGCTTGTAGCAGATAAAGCAGGGTCGCGCGGTGGCGACGGCCTAGGGGGGTGGGCACGGAGCTGGATATGACAATTGGAGATGATCAGGATGAACTTACGCGTTTATAGTAGAGATTGGTGAAAGACATGGTGTCCAGTGACTATGTTTGCATGACCGGCTGAGCAATCTTGGTTGCCGCCCTCTGCGTACGCAGAGACACGGTGATCAAGTGATAAAGCCCCGGAAGATTAGGAGTCCCGCTCTTATAAGCCCTAGCTCGGCGCAGACGTCAGTGAGTCTCCCAGCCCACTCCTTTGTCTTTTGCTCCCATGTCCACCGCAGGAAAACCCATCAAGTGCAAAGCCGCTGTCTGCTGGGGCGCCGGCGAGCCCCTCAAGGTCGAGGAGGTCGAGGTCGCCCCTCCGGGCCCTCACGAAGTCCGCATCCACATCCTGCACACTGGTATGTTTTGCATATAGTCACTCCAAGATCTTGATCTTAGTTCACTCAGGTATTTGCCACACGGACGAGTACACTCGCAGTGGTAAGGACCCAGAGGTAGGAATTGCCGCTCTGATTTGTTATCGGCTTGACGAGGCATGTCCGATAAGGGTCTTTTCCCGGTTATTCTCGGCCACGAGGGTGGAGGAATCGTAAGTCCTGTTTCACTTCATTTCGCGATGCCAATCCACTCTCCTTCATAGGTCGAGTCCGTCGGCGAAGGTGTCACCAGCGTCTCCGTGGTATGTCGATCATACCTCCCGTACTTCCAGATCCACCGATCATCAATCCTTCATCCGTAGGGCGACCACGTTATTCCCCTTTACACTGCCGGTGAGAACCATCTACCGTACCAGCCGTCTGTGAAGCTTACGTTTAATATAGAATGCCGCGAGTGCAAGTTCTGCAAAAGCGGCAAGACTAACCTCTGTGGCAAAGGTTTAACATACATCCACTTTTTTTTTTCCAACGCTTATGTTTCATTAGTTCGCACCACGCAAGGCAAGGGTCTGATGCCAGATAACACAAGCCGTTTCACATGCAAAGGTCAAGCCATCCATCACTTCGTACGCCTATGTCTCCTTTCCTTGGCACATTACAATAAATGCTTCTCTGCCAGATGGGGACGTCTACGTTCTCGCAATACACTGTTGTCGCAGACGTGTCTGTTGTCGCCGTTAACCCCAAGGCACCTTTGGAGCGTGTCTGCCTGCTTGGGTGTGGTATCACCACCGCTTGGGGTGCGGTCGTAAAGCAGCCCGGGATCCGTAAGCATAGCTGTTGAGGTTATTTTAACACTGTTGCTGATTCACATAAATCAGCTGGATCTACAGTTGCTGTGTTCGGTTGTGGCGCGATCGGCCTTGGTGTCATTGCAACAGCTGCGCTTGTTAAGGCATCCCGCGTGTTCGCAATCGACACTAACCCTGGAAAAGAAGCCTGGGCTCGTAAATTCGGTGCGACTGATTTCATCAATCCGGCCCAGCTCCCGGAGGGGACGCGCATTCAAGACCATCTCGTCGAGATCACTGACGGTGGACTCGACTATACCTTTGATTGCACTGGTAATGTAAGTATACTCGACGCGTTGATCAGACCCTGCCTCTCAACTCGAAAAATGGCAGGTGCATGTAATGCGTGGTGCCCTTGAGGCCTGCCACAAAGGCTGGGGTGTTAGCACCATCATTGGTGTCGCCGCTGCCGGCCAGGAGATCTCTACGCGCCCGTGAGTTGTTGCTTGCAAGATCGCGCTGTACTCTTGTGTTCATCGCGATACTAGATTCCAACTCGTCACTGGCCGTACCTGGCGCGGAACCGCTTTCGGAGGTGTTAAGGGTCGCACAGAGCTCCCTGGCCTTGTTGAAGGTGTGTTTTGTCAGCCGTCTCGATTTCAAAGTGTCTCACAATTTTGTAGATTATCTCGAAGGCAAGGTCAAGGTCGATGAATATGTGACTCACCACCGGACATTGGCTGAAATCAATGCCGGCTTTGAGGATATGCATGTAAGTGGATAGGTATTCTCCCGTCATTCCCATTGTTGATGCTCTCGACTTTGTCAGGCTGGTGACTGCATTCGTTGTGTCGTCGACATGTCGTGAAGCATCCAGGAGTGTGTATAATGCTGTAGGATGTATTTGGAGGAAGGCAATCATACTGTTGTATCATGTAACGCAAGAAAAAATGACTGTCTGATCGCTGAAGATCTGTCTAACATCGAGTACGCGAAAGCCAAGAGTAAATGTGATTCCGAAACACTCGTCGTACAACGATAATCACACCGCTCTATCTATCAACAGGCGTGGCCTTTGTGTACCAGTCACCGCACACCAGAGTCCTGTCAAAGCAGCAAGAGCCTCCATTCGTCGAATTCCGCTTCGTCTCCACGCTACTTTTGTTGCAGCAAGCACACACAACAAGAACGAAATATCCAAGAAAAGTCTCCGCACCACAACGAACGTCGGCGAACGGCCTTGAGCATGTGCTAGGAGAGAAGCAATGAACTTGATCATTTCGGCTAGGCGAGCGAGGGGACGCAGGACAATCGACCACATGCCCATATCATCTATGTCCCAAAGCAATTCGCTGTCCTGTCCTGTAGCGCTCCAGCGGGGTGAACGTCGCCCTTGGCTGGACAGTGATGCGGTCGAACGATGAGCAAGCCCCTCAAGGGTCTCTATTCGTTCAGTGAGAGCGGCAATAGCAGTCTGCATGCTCTCTATAGCGCGCTCGATAGCTGGGCGCGACGCGGGGCGAGCTGGAGCGTTCGGGAAGCCGCTGTAAGGCCGCCGCTGCTGTTGGCTGGGTGCTCTGTAAGGGGGATGGGCGGGAGATGGATGCGTGGGATATGTGAGGTCAGAGGAGGACTGTCGGAACCGATCGTAAAGCGACGAAGTACTCTGCGGGTAACCAGACGAGACACCGGGTTCGGCGAAGGCAGATTCGGTCTGAAATGCTGGAAGAGGCTGCGATGTAGGCACGCTCGTGCTGCCAGGTGGGGAAGAGAGCATGATGGAGCCTGCTGTGGGAGTTCGGTATCGACGAGAAGACATAGACGACTGTGGACGGTTCATCTGACTCTGTGCGTATACAGACACGGGAGGGACACGGTCGTTTTCTTCACCGTCTGTACTGCTTTCACCTTCAGACAAGTCTTGAAAGGGTTGTGGGAACGACGATGGACCTCCTTGGTTGTTTCGTAAATGCGGGGGTAGCGGGCCCTCTTGAAAACGGGATATCGCATGGTCGTCAGAAGCAGTAGATCCGGATGAGCTTGATGCTCTAGATCTTGACAATGAGCCTGCAGTCAATGCAGGTAAGTCCATGGTACGACAGCAAAAGCGGGAGATGCGACATACCACTCATGACAAGATTCGAGGGGTCCCCTGTGTAAGATTCCAACTCCCGCACTAAGTCCATCGCTACTGTCTTATCGGAATACTTTCGCAACACCTGGCACCTGCCTCTCAGAGTGCATTTATATATAGGAGCTGCTCAGATATGTACCTTCAATAATGCATCCACGTATAGCCACTTGGACTCATATGAATCAAGGTCCTTATGCTTCGCCCATGCATCCCTGCATTCCGCCTCAGCGTAAGTACCATATGAGAACACCTCCATCGAATCAATATATCGCACCACTTGGCTCTTCCCAGCATGTCCCACACACTCGGACGGGGAGACTGGACGTTCCCCACGGTAGCTGCAACCCATCCAGCATGAAGTCAACTATTTTGAAAAGGGACATAAAGTGCAACCGGTGACACCTTGTTTGTATAAACTAGTCGCAGCAAGGTCAATACGCAGAACACTCTGAGTATAGGCAGTTTAGGCCACGCACCTGTACATCGTCAATTTTTCCTCGTATCCGGTCTGTATTGGTCCATTCTTCGGTAAACCCTGGACGATCTCCACAGCACGGTCAAACTGTGCGTCTATCAGCTCACGCGAGCTCATTGTAGAAAGCAATGCAGAAAGTATCAGGAGCGGACGAGACCAAGACGTTCCGTTTGGTGAAAGACAGCTGTGAACAGCGCTCCGGCGCAATATACCGATGTGCGTAGGCGAGAGACGCCTCTTGATCACAATTTCACACGAAGCTCGCACTTCATTTGAACACTGAACAAGTGCCCGATGGCTTCGAGCAGGTCAATCATAACATAAAATTGTAGTATATACCCTTCTTCTAAATTCGTCAGAAATGAAAAGACATGGATGGAAGAACAGCAACCCCGGAGCTCGCGGCTCAATAGCATGCATTTCGTTGAGCTCCGGCGAGCCCACTGACATTGATACGGAGCAACGCGAGTCATCGTATTGTAATGAGAATAGTCCAGAGCCCGTAGTGCAAACGAATGCCGACAAGTCATGAGGATGGGTAGTGTTGCTCTGGTGGTGTATTCGATGCACCTTCGGCCCACCTGTACTTCAGTCCTCCCGGAATTTTCTCTTCTCGTTCGCTCACCCTCTTCCCTATAGGACATATCAACAACAGGGTCATATTGCGAAAAAGCGTAGCTCTCTGGTTATCCAGGGCGCTTTTCATGGTTCATGCTCACCTCGCCATGTCAACACCCCCCAGACCTTTCCATGCGTTCCTTCAAGCTTCAATTTTGTCCTGGTCACTTCCCAGTAACAGTCAGATATCCCTTTCGCCGCCCACCGCGTCTGGTACACCCGCTGTCCTACCCCATCCTGAGGGTACCGAGACAGAACTTCATAGAGGTTACCTGGCCGGGATGAGAGTGACGGTGGTAGTTGTTTGGGCAGAAGTTTTCGAAGAGCGGTGGCAACAGTGGAGGACATCTAAGCACGGCCTGACACAGTTAGAAGACACACAACCTTTCGCAGTTGAAAAGAATACTTGCTCTTCGAATGGACGTCAATTATGTCTAGCCTGAGAGGATATATGTGAGGCGCTCGTCTCGCGGAGGTCTATGTTCAAGCTCCGCGACCTCCAAGCGCTACAGGCACTGATCTTCTGTCAAGTCGTCGCTCTTCATTTCTACATCCATCTGCTACAATGCGAATACACCCTTTACGTTCAATTTTGCGTTCTACTCGAAACTATCCTCATAGCACACTTATCAGCCGATTAAGCTCATCGCAATCTGGCCAGGGTAGTGTCAAGACTGACTTGTACGGCATACCCACACAGCCTACATGGTCGGTAAATGACCTCCTTTCTTCTTATCCTAAACCAAAAATCTCCGCATCTACGCTCCAACGTCTGCATGATTTATCAGCGTTAATCCCACCGGAAAAGGGTACAGCAGAACATGGCGCGCTAACTCGGGACATGGAGGAACTAGTCAGGCTCGTTGAAGCGGTCAAGCTGGTGGACACAAGCGAAGTTACAGAGGACGGTGGCGTACCGGATGGGAGAATATGGGCCGAAGAAATTGGCATTGAACTTGATGAGGGCGGTCCACCGATATCAAATACAGAGATTCAGGGTCGCGACTTGCAGAGTCACTCTGGAAGAGTGAGGAGTGGACTTTACATTGTCGATGCGAAAAAGCCAAAATAAGTGCCTTCGTGAGTGCGCTATGATGTGATGCCTGACAGATTTCGTGTATTAATGGACACTCCAAGCAATTGTTACGCTCTGTTTATCTGCTCTTAGGCGAGCGATTGCTGGCCATGGCTTGCAGTTACAGTCGATCCACGGAAGTAAGTGAATATCATTTTTCTTGAATTCACCCGTCTTACATATACAGATCTGACAAGATTCTACTAGTATTAACAGTAAACTTCGCTTCAAGAGTACGACCGGTGGGAATATAATATAGGCATAAGTCACCAGCTCAAAATGTCCTAAGTGGAACTATTCGTGCGACATTCAAGAGCATTGTGGCCACCGGTTGATCCAAATCCACCAACTCCGCGCAGCGTCTCATCCAAATCCTGTCATCTGAATCAGAAAAACGAAACATTATACGTGACCTGCACCCACCGTGACTTCGATAATTTCTGGTGTTACAATTCTCTCTAAAATGAGTTGAGCTATCCTGTCGCCTTCCTCGACTTACAATGAATATGCGTTGAATACATGGTAATTGCCAGTTGGTGAAAACGCGTACTTTGGAAATCCTTGTCTGATAGATTAAATAGGAGGACGAAGACAACACCCCGATAGTCGGCATCAATGACACCAGCGCCGCAGTCAATCATGAATTTCGACGCTGTCCACGTATTGGCGGCGAAGGAACGAGAAGTCCATAGGCTGAACATACCTAATCCACTTCGAGGCGCGACCCGGCCATACGTGCCTGCGGGCACGGCGATCGAGAGTTGAGTATCCACCAAAGCTTTGCCACGCGACGGAATGGTTTTTCTTTCCGCACTGCAATGAAAAAAACATCGAACAGAGCAAATACAATGTTTGGGATATTTTACCTGTATAAATCGTATCCCGCCGCGAGAGGAGACCCACGAGTTGGCAGCTTCGCTTTGTTCGAGAGGCGCTTGATGAGCAACCCGGAAACGGGAGCTTGTTTTGTAGTTGCTCGCTGTGGAATCTCATCCCCCTCGATATCGCAGAGCTTGCGTTTTGTAGTTGCTCGCTGTGGAATCTCATCCCCTTCGATGTCGCAGAGCTTGCGTTTCTTTTGCGGATAGTTGACCATGATGAGTTTTGATACAGTATAGGAGGGTTGGCTGCGGGTGGAACGGGACGCGACTCGTTTAAACATGTTGGCGGAGTTCATAACCGTGTCAACTCCGAAACGGTGTAAACAGGATACACATGACGCGCCGGGACGCGTTTGTTTAATCCGATCAATAATGAATCTTTCCCTTGCTGGGAGTCAGCTACCACTTACATCCTTCTTCCAACGAGGGGCCCAGACAAAGCAATCTATTAAGCGGAGGAGAAAGTCTGAAAATGCCGCTGGAGAGGAAGATTTATCCGGTCCCCCTAGAAAGAAAGGAAAGCAGAAAGAAAACGAACCTCTGAGCGTATTGCGAAAGAAGGCGAAGGATATAGGTGGGACTCACATAGATGCCCTCCTTCGTTCTCCTAGCGATGGAACAATCAATCAAAGCTCTCCCCACTATGGCCCTGTGCGTGTCGTAGAGGCAGACGGTCTGTTTTTTTGGTATCGATAGAAAAATTTAATCTAACGCCTAATATTCAGAAACAACGATCTCCGGGAACAATGCTGCTGTTGGAGAAAGGGATTGCAACTACGCTGCAAGAGAAGACAAAGCCACCAGTCTATCATCCATAGCCACTCCCGCGCGCCAGTCGAAAGGTGACCCTCGATTAGCAAGAGAGGCTCTCCCCACACCGCCGCCGACGAATGCAGTGAAATGTGCGAGTAGAGCATATAGTGACCAAAGTTCTCCTGCAACCCCCGATAAAAGTGCACTCGAACCACAAGTAAGCGCATCTATTGAAGGTGATGCGTCCCTCTCGCGACTTGTAGAGGAGCGGGGTCCTTCACCATGTACAGGTGTTACGATTACACTGTCCAAGAAGCTGCAGCTACAGCCCGTTCTGGGCCAGTTTACCTTCACACCCCAATCACCTTTGGCTCTTCCAGCTGCGTACAAAGGTGATGCCATGGGCTCCGCCCTTCTCACTCCGTCTCCGTCTCCAAGTCGTCCCGGATATCCGCTATATGCTCAGGATTTTTCATCGGTTTCACGGCCTGTTAAGGGCGAAGTCATACCATCATCACAGACGCAAGATCTGTCGTTAGTGTGTGCCTCATCGTCCATGGTACATCAAGTGCCTCTTCGAGGTCAAGGAGTTTTGGCGGTTAGCCATGCGCATGAAAAGGGCGACTTCGTTCCTAGCTCGCAAAATCAAGAGCTCGATCTCTACATCAAACCAGACGTCACGCCGACGGGATTGTGGCGGACAAGTAGTGAAGGTGTATCTACGTCTCAGTTCGGAGAAGAAGAGCTTTCAATCGAATCGGGCTCACCCGCCGTGTCGCAACAATGTCTTCGAAGCGGTCGTTTTAGTATTGGCGCTGACAATCGTGTGTGGCTCCCTGGAAAGACGTCGAAAAGTGTGATGAAATCCCCGGAACCCATTCCAAGCTCTCAGAGCCAGATTGAAAGGCCTCTTACAATTGATGCTGCTCACTGGACCGAGGATGTCTCTCCACAGCCCCCTGTGGATGAGGGAACATTATTTCACAACGAGACCCCTAGCGCTTCATACTCTCTAGCCAAAGACCCAGGATCTCCATGGTTAGTCAGAGTCCCCTATGAATGAAATGTTTCGCATCATACGAGTGTTTCTGTTGCAGTGACATAGATTACTCATCACCATTGGCACCATACGTTGACGAGCAACAGCCTGAAATAGAACAAATTTCTCCGGTGCATACACCCGCGGCATCTGGCGGAATAGACAGTCAGATCTTGACATCCCCGCTTCGTGCACCATCTTCCTATAGTGCCTCTTATCAAGACGATGAAGGTGGATATTCCCGAACCCCCACGCAGTTACGTATCTTTCGTGATATGTTCGATAGCCAACCCAGCTGGCTGGCGGACCAGGACAGCATAGGCTCACAAGCTCAAAGCGGTCAGGCCAATGAACGGGCCGATCCTCCCAACGTCCAGCTGCAGAATGATTCGCACCAAGGACATCATGTCGCCTCAGGGACAGAGCCAGGATCTGACAATAATACGATTGGTTTTCCTACCTGGCACCGTCTTGATTCACGCTTGGGGCGCGGAGATGATCCTGATTCGTTCGGAAGGCCTTATAGTTCGTCACCCGCTCGTCCAATGCGTGCTCTATCGCCATCTGAATGTGAACACCAACCCGTATCGCTGTCGTATCGTGAAGCTCTTGACAGCGATGAAATAGCAAGTGAAACGGCCCATTCGATGGACCCAATGAATGTCGGTACGTCATCCGAAATTTCGCAAGGTTCATCGCTTCCATCTGTAGCATTGGATTTCTTGGATATGCTCAGTCAGAGTTCTATTTAAGCTGACACAACTGTGTTGGATAAGTTCTGAGTGTCTCTTATATCAATCTCAAGCAATGTATATCTAGCCTTCAGCGGATAGGAAAACTATACCTTACTTTCTCTACTACTACTGAATATCGTAGAATTAACTGCATGATTGGTTTCCACGGAGACTATGTAACAGGATTGTTGTACAGAAGCTGTGGTCGGATTCAACCATCTATACATAGCGGATCGACTGAGATTTAGATGCTTTCAAGGTTATGCTCTAGCTTTCCGAGTCCGAGTCGTGGCGCCTGACAGATGATCGAGGAGTCTGAGCTGAATGCCATTTGGGACGAGCATTTGTTTGCAACTGTTGGCCAAAGCCCTCTCACTTCTTCCTAATTCGTCACCGTCGGAATCACTAAATGCCTACCGCAGATACTCGGTTTGCGACGGACAGTCGCTTCGCTGAATCACCAGAAGCCGGCCCTTCGAGTTCTGATGTTCGCCGTCACAGCGAAGATTTCAATGAAAGTGACAGCCGTTCAGAGAAAACGGATGACGAGGTCGAGGCGTCGGAAGTAGACGATGCCGATAGTCTTGGGAATGGAATGGACCCTGACGGGTTCGCTGGACCCTTACAAAAGGTCGTCAAGCCACTGACAGCTGAGGCACTCTCTGCGTTCAAGGCTGCTCAGGATAAAGCAGGTGTCGTCTATGTTTCGCGTATTCCACCTGGGATGCGACCCACGAAAGTGCGGCATATCATGAGTGAATACGGAGAAGTGGGTAGAGTATACCTTCAACAAGAAGGTATGTTACATTATGCATAAGGTCCACAATGGCTAATGGGCTGATGGTCAGATCCCAAGCGAGCATATTTGAGGCGTAAATACACGGCTACCAAGAAGGCTCATTTCACAGAGGGTTGGGTTGAATTCAAGGATAAAAAGGTAGCTCGTTCTGTCGCAGACATGTTGAATGCGCAACCTATTGGTGGGAAGAAGGGCACACGCTGGCGAGATGATGTGTGGACAATGAAGTATTTGCCTAAGTTCAAATGGAATATGCTTACAGAACAAATTGGTGAGACAACATTGGTTTATTGATGAATTCAGCGTTGCTCAGTCTGTTATCTCACTAGCTCATGAAGCTGCATTGCACGCCGCTCAATTGAGGGCAGAATTGTCGCAATCGCGGCGTGAACAGCGGGAATATTTGAAAAACGTTGAACTTGCTAGGGTCTTGGACAAACGCTCTGAAAGAAAGCGTAAGGCGCAGCCCGAAACTTCCGTGGAGGCTGCGGAAGGAATGACGCGTCCCCGAAAGAAGGGGAAGGATGAAAAAGAACAGAGCTCTACTCAAGTGAAGAAACAAAAACATACACACGGGGATTCTGGAGAGGGGGAGTTGGACAATGTATTACAAAGTATTTTCTAGTATCCGTAGTGTGCCATTATACAATCACAGGATAGACTCGTTGATTCGGACGTCGAGCGCTGAATTTCAACTTGAGGCTGAGTTTGAAATCGGACCATAGGGAACGCATTCCTGTTTTGCGTTCACCATCGCGAACACAGTGAGCCCGTCTCACCGAGCATCGAGAACGCCGTGCTCGTCGTGTGTCGCGTCTTCAGAGGTCTGTGCTTCCATCATGCTCGCCTACTCTCTCTCACAGCTATTGATGATCAGTCGTCGCGTTTCTCGTTCTCCTTTCTATCTCTCAGCTCGTCTCTCTGAATATGTCTGCTTGGTCTGGCGCTGCTTATCCTCCGCCTCCACCTCCGCGTGGACGTTCCCGCTCTCGTTCTCCATACCGCGGGTCCTATCCTCCCAGGCCGGCCTATCCTGAGCCGGGATATCCCCAGGATCCCTACCGTGCAGATTGGGAGGCTTATGACAGGGACAGAGCGTGGGCTAACTATGAGAGAGAGAGAGCTGCATATGAATACAGTCGGCGAGGGAGAAGTCGCAGTCCTCCCGCAGATGAAGGTACGTCTATGTTATGTTCACCTTGTCACTCTCTAATAACACCTTGTCCTCAGCCGGTAGGAAGCGCCGGCGCTCGCTGTCACCTTGGGAGCGGGATAGATACGAGCCCCGTCCCCGGTATGGTGATGATTATGGTTCGTATCACCTTCCTTGTTCTCATATTTCATCTCACCTTTTTACAGACACTCATTCTCGGGGCTATGGTTATGGCGGCTCACCACATCGTGGTCAATATCCACCACCTCCGTATGGCGGCACATTGCGTCGTGCTCCTCCGGATCCTCATACATTCGATTATGCTGCATCCCTAAAACAATATGCGGAGTGGTTCCGTTACTTCTATCCTCAGCAAGCAATCGAGGAGGACAATGCCGACAAAGCGGCGGAACAAGAAGCTGGGGATGGCTCAAAACCTCGCAACGGCATCAGGACTCGATGGGAAAAGTACAAGAAGGATTTCTCCGCACAACAGGTATGTATCTTATTACCATTCATTCTTCCTAATTCATCGTAATCTGTTCAGCTGCAACGGATGTTTGAACATCATCGCAAGTCACCATGGTTTTCCGAAAAATACGAACCTGCGCCTGAATATACTTCTTTGCGCACTCGGGTTCGTAAAGTGGGTTGGAGAGGCAGGATGGATGCGTTTCTGCTGGATTTGGAGACAGGCAAGTTTGATCCTGACTTGAACGAGCCAGAGCCAGATGTGGCCTCGCCTACCAAGGACAGTGCCCCGAGTGGAGATACTACCTCCAACGCTGTGGATGCGAGTAGCACCCAAGCGGGCCATGTAGAGGAGCAGAAACCCGCCATCAATGCTGGCGGCGGCGATGACGATATGCAATTCAATGTTGAAGCCGAGGATGAAGGCGGAGACAACGAAGCCAATCGTCTCGACACCAATGGCAAAGCTTCGTCCGACCCGAAGCGTAATAGCCGAGGCGAGGAGGTCTCAGTATTGCCTGAGGGTAATCAAGTTATGATTCGTACTATCCCTCCTGACATCGGTCGCATGAAACTGGAAGACGTAAGTGCTTTGCCCTTGTGCTTCACGGGTCAGTCTCTGACTATGACCTTAGTCATGTGGGAAGATACCTGGGTTTGTCTATCTGGCACTGGGTGATCCCCTTCAGAAGAGGAATTACTATCGTGCTGGTTGGCTCAAGTTCCGTGATGATGCCGACATGGCAACAATCATGGCTGAGCTATCGGATAAAAAGGTGGGATAGACGGCTACAATCATGCAGAGAATTTACTGAATCTGGTCCAGATTGAAGGCTTCAAGCTTCATGTCGCTCACATCACCAAGCCGTTTGTATCAAGGGTCCGCTATGCACCAGAAGTCGCCAGCAAGCCAGACAGGATGAGTAAAGATCTTGCTAACGTCAAGATACTTGCTGCCATCCTTGAGGAAGAATGCGCTAGTCTGCGCAAAGTCAAGATTGAACAGAAGGAACCTAATGCTGACGTTTCTGCTGATGGTGATGCCGCTATGGCTGATGGTTTGAGTACCGAAGATGAGGACCCAGAACCAAAGGAGCGAGGGAGTGATGCTGTTGAGAGACGAATCGAGAAAGTGATGGCCGATATGCGAGACCAGGGTTTGATAGATGCAGCTGATGAGAGGGTGTTGGAGGCGAAGAAGGTAGCGTCTTTCTATAATACATTGCTCATTGGCTGAAACGCACTGACCAACCTCCCAGACGGTAGTGTCGCTCGACTTGTACCTTGCCTACCTGCGTGCTGCATTTCACACATGCTATTACTGCGCAGTTGTTACCGATCACTTAGAGGAATTACAGCGCAAGTGTGTGAAGCATGTAAGGAAGCCCATGTCGAAAGCCTTGCTGCAAGAGGTGAAGGCGGCTGAGGCCCAGAAAGCTGAGAGAGAACTGAAAGTTGAAGGAGCATTAGACGACGAGAAGCTGAAGGAGAAAGAGAAAGATGCCCCAGTCAAGGAAAAGTCTGAGAACAGGGATTGGAAGCGGAATGGTATGCTTCTACATTCCACTCGGAACGTTGTGATGCTTGACGATACCACGCAGACGAACGATGGCTCGAGTGGCTTGATTCTAAGGTCGCGCTGCTCATCAATCGTGCCGGCGTGGACCCACGGGACTACGGCGGCAAGAGCTACGAAGAGTAGGTTTTCTGCTTGCTCTGGCTATTGACTGTCTGAATCACCCTGCAGGGAACTGTCCAAAGCAGCTGAGCCTTTCATGAAGCAAGAAGACGAGGGTAAATACAGGTGTAAGACATGCCAGAAGCTGTTCAAAGCCACGTCGTTCGTGGAGAAGCATATTGCCAACAAGCATCCCGAACTCGTCAAGCATCTGGAAGAGGTACGGAGAATTTTCATTCGTAGAGGCATGTGTTTTGATGACATTGTTGCCTTTACAATAGATACCTTACTTCAATAACTTTGCGCTGGATCCTCATCGGATTCAGCCCTTTGCGCACCCGCCTCCTTTAGTAGGCAACAGTCAAGCGCCGCCGCCTCAAGCCTATGGTCTGCAAGGGCCTGCTTACGCTCCTCCATCCGACTATGGGCGTCCTGCTGCTTACCAGGGATCATACGGAGGATATCCTCCATACGCTAACGGTAATTACTGGGATCCTTACGCGTACCCATATCACCCTGGCGCATATCCTCCGCCACGGAAGGATGAGGGTGTGACAGCTCGGCGGCTCAGCGATCGCATTAGCGGGTATGCCCCTGGATACGAACAGAACGTGGAGCCGCCTCCTGTCCCGGCCTCAGCCGGTCTGCCTGCCAAGCCTGTAGCGACACTTGAGCCAGGACCTGGTGGCAGAAGAGGGGGGCGGGGAGGTGCAAGTGGGCCTCCTCCGCCGCCGCCGCCGGATGCGAAAGAAGATCCCAGGGCGTCCGCAGGAAAAAAGGTCAGTTACCACGACATGGATCTGGTGGCCGAGGGAGACGTGGAGCTTCAGTACTAGGCTATGTAAAGCCGTATGTCCAACTAATACTGTGATGTCGCTTGTTATAATGGTATTCCTCATGTTGTGCGCGTGGAGCGCTTCACGGTGATGTGTGTTGGCGGCGTTGACCAATGGTGAGATGAGCAGATGCCGTCGTCGTATCTGGCGAGGCTGGCTCGTCCGGCGTGCCGCTTGTTATGGGGACGACCCAGACTGCTCTGGACAAACGAGGCGCTGCGCGAGAGGCCCAGCTTGTAATGGAATATGACTGATGCGAGGGTCGTCCGCCTGTGCACTCTCAGGCCAGTAAGCATGGGCACGGAGGGGGAGACGAGCCAAGCGACGCTCTGCTGCAGACCACAACGGTGGGCGTCGACAATTGTCCAGGAATCTGGCGTGAATCTCAAGCGCAGGCTTATTTGACGCTGTTTGTCGTGTTCCCGTCCTGGCCCTCGCGCGCACAGCGACTGCTCGCCGCCAGTCCGACTGGCCTCGTCGCCACCCTCCCCTCCTCTCCCCTTCCCTCTCTCCCTCTCTCCCTCTCTCCTCCCCTCCTCCTGGTCTGTCGGCTCGACGGTCGGCCACCAATCTACCGCTGCGGACGGTAGCTCCTCCGGCCATACGCGATGTCTGGGACAAGACTGCATTCTGTGCGCCTTCCGTCCGTCATTGCGAGTCAAGCGGTCGACGAAGAGGCCCCGGGCGACAGTCCTGTCGTAGTGGACCTGCCCCCCTCCAGCAAATTTGGCTTCGCATGGCCCACCGATCCCCCTCCCCCTGTGGGCGTCCCGCTCGCGACCGAGCGATCCACGGGTGTTTCGTTGAGTTCTTCCGAGGGGGAGACGGACATGTCAGAGGAGGAGCCCAGTCGTCCCACCAGGAGGAGCACGCGAACCGGCGAGAGCGATGAATCCGACTTTGTGACTCCCACTAATCTCATGGACTCCGACCAGAATCCCCTCGACCAGAGCGACCACCTCCGCCCTGTTCCCCGACTGTCCCGCGCGTTCTCCATGCCTCTGCCGTCGCAGCTAGGATCGCTCATGAACCCCAGACGAACTGCATATTCCCCGTCCAACGACAACACATCGTCCGCCATCCAGCTGCCCGCGGAACTCGGGCATTTTCATGAGCTTTCTCTCGAGCTGGCTGACTCTGTGCAAATGATAATCCAGACTTTGCTCCAGTTGTCGCCTCCGCAGGTCCTCGATCCCGCGAAGGAGCAGTTCTCCGCTTGTTCGCTTTCCATTCCTACTCCCTCAGTTTCGGCCATGTTCACGTCCATGAAGAACTTGAACTACATGTCCGCGCACATGTCAGTGCTCAGCCTCGACCTCCCGCTCCAGAAGCCGGTTAATCATAGGGGGCACTCTCCAACGCCGGTCGTGGAGAACGACTTTGATGTTGGCGAGATGTTGCAGAGTGTGGGGGATGTCTTGAGCGGGCTAGCTGCGCAAGCCGATGTGGACATTGTTTTGTTTCACGGGGATCTAGGAATGAAGCACGTCGCTCTGAGGGGGGACGAGAGTGGCATCTCATACACGTTATCGCATGTAAGTTGCAGAGACTCATTGGCGGCACTCGCGTTGACGTAGCTTCTAGGTCGTCCGTCAAATTATTGCCACTGCGCAAGCAGGAGATACCATTGAAATTGGCCTATTTATTGAACCGGCTTTGGCCGCTGGGGACGAACCGGGTGTGGCGAACAGTGACCCAGTGACCCGCTCTTCGTCGCCTGCACATGATTACGACGGTCCGCTACGGTGTACCTTTCATATAACCCACAGATTTGCCTCGTCAGATGCGTCTGGCGCAGAATTGGTCGACGGTGACCGTGGTTTCACATCTTCTCCTATATCTGCGCTCCGTCCGGAGCCTTCACTGAAGACCCTGTTTTTACGGCGATTGCTTCGCCATGTAGGTGCGAGTTTGGAAACTGACGTCCCTCCACGAGGTCTCTCTTCCGGGCGCCCCTGCAATTTACATATCACGTTGGATCGTGGCCTGCCGTCGGTTGTAGACCCCACTGTCAGTATCTCTCCAGACGACGGGGCTTATGCGGGCAACCCGGAGGTCAAGATATCACAAGAGCCTACGCTGGACCAATTGTCGCAATTTGCAGAGTCCCTGAAGGGAAGAAAAGTGACCCTTTTCGCTCACTCCAAGGGCGCTTTTGCTCAACATCTCACAAGCTATCTTACTGCTTGGGGTATGGATGTTAGCCATGTCTCCACCGAACCAAACGCTGATTCATCGACCGAGAGCGTCGAGGGTAGTTCAGATACGACGACTACTTCGGGCGAAACTCTTCCGTACGATCAGACCACAGGTCCATCTGCTGGGGCTTCTACTAGCGCGGAGGCAGTATCGTTTTGTATCATCGATGATGATGTTTCCATCTTGCGGGCCAAACTGCAGAAAATTCGAGCGGCATATGCGTATCCGCTCACTCTGAGCTCAAGAAAGCGACCATCACTGGCGGCCAACCACCGTCCACGCTCTTCGCCTCAGGTTGCTCGTGTTATGGGTTTGACACCATTCGCTGCCCCACCTGCCCCACCTCCCGTCGTTGTTCATTTCACTTCTCTGTCTAATTTCAAACTCGTGAAGGATGCCGTACAATCCATCCTTGCACCAGGCTTCAGTAATTCATCTAGGATGCCTGAGGTCATTGTGATTCCAAAACCCGCTGGTCCGCGTCGTGTACTGACGGCATTACACACGGCCATCACCAGACCCGTCGTGGACCCATTTTTCTATCCAACCGCTACCTCACCTGTCAGCCCAGGTCTCACGCCGTTCTTCGGTCTTTCAAACGCTGCCAGATCGCCCGGTGCGCGCTCGACGACCAGCGTCCGCTCGGACAAGTCGGCAAAATCGCCGAAGGATTACGCTCCTTCATCTCCACGGGGAGTGGCAGATTCTATGGAGTATTTTTCGGATGCAGCGGCCAAGCTAGGAGCGACGCCTGCCTCGGGGCTGGTGATCCAAAGTCCGGACGGCCAGCCGGCAGGGATTTATTTCCACCCTAAGGCAAAAGGCCAGCGCAGTAATGTACCCACGCCTCAGCCTGATCACCCAGGCCGGGCGCGAGGATCGTCGTTCCGTCGCGCATCCGACCACGAGACCAAGAGTGGCGGTCTGACGGTGAGTCCTGTCGAAAGCATGCGCCGCAGCTCGCGCCCGCCGGCGTCGCCCAGCGCAGAGGGCAGCCCGGAGGCAGGCCTGGTGGAGCTTCCTCCCGCGAAGGGGAAAGGCCGCCAGGCCGCGCCGAACGATGGGATCACGCCGCTGCCCCCGAGCGAGAGCCCGATATCTGCGGGCATGACGGAGTCGCCGACGGGGGAGTCGAGCGGGTCGGGATTGCCACGGACGGCTTCGCGGAAACACGGGCATGTAGAGTCGATACACAAGCAGCAGAATTCGGACCCGCCCACGTCGCCGTCGCGGGCCACGGCCGGGCGGCGGTTCAGACGGCCGCACCTGGAGAGCCAGGCGTCGGCACCGGCAGGGACGCAGAAGAGAGGGGAGGCGTCTGGGGCGGGGATCGTGCCGCCCATCAGCGTTCTCATTGTGGATGGTGCGTTTTCTATGTGGCTCTTCGCGCTTCGCTGTAATCACCGCGCTTCGACGCAGATAACCCGATCAACCAGACCATCCTGTCCACGTTCATGAAAAAGAAGAAGATCAAGTTTGACGTGGCGAAGAACGGGGAGGAGGCGGTGACGAAGTGGCAGACCGGGAGCTTTCATCTTATTCTGGTGGGTTTGTCATTGGACGGTGGGGTGGCTCCGCGATGACGCTGTCTTGCGCAGATGGACATACAGATGCCAGTGATGGACGGGATCGAGGCCACGAAAGAGATCAGGCGGGTGGAGAAGATGAATGCGATGGGCGGGTTCCCGACGACGCCGCAGTCGGAGGGGCAGCAGACACCGTCGGAGGCGTCTGTGGGGGACTCGCGGTCGTCGACGACGTCGACGCCTCCGTACCGGTCGTCGGTGATCATTGTCGCGTTGACGGCGTCGTCGCTGCAGAGTGACCGGGTTGCGGCGCTTGCGGCGGGGTGCAACGATTTTTTGACGAAGCCGGTGTCGCTGCATTGGCTGAACAGCAAGATCATCGAGTGGGGGTCGATCAAGGCACTGCAGATGTGGGCGGACATCCGGCCGGAGGTGGTGAAGAGTATTTCGACGGGGCAGGCGGTGCAGGCGCAACATGTCGCGCGACGGCTGCACGTCCCGGAGGGCCGGACACCGACGGACTCGCGGAGCCGGGCGTCGTCTGTTTCGCGGAAGCAAATCAGTGCGGAGAGCGCTGCGGCAACGCTGGCGCGGGGCGGGGAGCGGACGGTGACGCCGAGCACGCCAG